TGATTGTCGGGTAGGTGTAACCCAGGTATATTGGTACACCATGATTGTCGTGGTAGGTGTAACCCAGGTTTACTGGTACACCATGATTGTACTGGTACACCATGATTGTCGTAGGTATAACCCAGGTTTACTGGTACACCATGATTGTCGTGGGTAGGTGTAACCCAGGTTTACTGGTACACCATGATTGTCGGTGGTAGGTGTAACCCAGGTTTATTGGTACACCATGATTGTCGTGGTAGGTATAACCCAGGTTTACTGGTACACCATGATTGTCGTGGTAGGTGTAACCCAGGTTTATATGGGTACACCATGATTGTCGTGGTAGGTATAAACCCAGGTTTACTGGTACACCATGATTGTCGGGTAGGTAGGTGTAACCCAGGTATATTGGTACACCATGATTGTCGTGGTAGGTATAACCCAGGTTTACTGGTACACCATGATTGTCGTGGTAGGTGTAACCCAGGTTTATTGGTACACCATGATTGTCGTGGTAGGTATAACCCAGGTTTACTGGTACACCATGATTGTCGTGGTAGGTGGTAACCCAGGTTTACTGGTACACCATGATTGTCGTCGTGGTAGGTATAACCCAGGTTTACTGGTACACCATGATTGTCGTGGTACACCATGAGGTGTAACCATGATTGTCGGTGTAACCCAGGTTTACTGGTACACCATGATTGTCGTAGGTATAACCCAGGTTTACTGGTACACCATGATTGTCGGTAGGTGTAACCCAGGTATACTGGTACACCATGATTGTCGTTGTAACCCAGGTACCATGATTGTCGTAACCCAGGATTACTGGTACACCATGATTGTCGTGGTAGGTGTAACCCAGGTATATTGGTACACCATGATTGTCGGGTGGTATAACCCAGGTTTACTGGTACACCATGATTGTCGTGGTAGGTGGTATATGGTACACCATGATTGTATTGGTACACCATGATTGTCGTGGTAGGTATAACCCAGGTTTACTGGTACACCATGATTGTCGGTGGTAGGTATAACCCAGGTTTACTGGTACACCATGATTGTCGTGGTAGGTATAACCCAGGTTTACTGGTACACCATGATTGTCGTGGGTAGGTGTAACCCAGGTATAACCCAGGTACACCCATGATTGTCGCGGTGTATATGTAACCCAGGTTTACTGGTACACCATGATTGTCGTGGTAGGTGTAACCCAGGTATATTGGTACACCATGATTGTCGTGGTAGGTATAACCCAGGTTTACTGGTACACCATGATTGTCGTGGTAGGTGTAACCCAGGTATATTGGTACACCATGATTGTCGTGGTAGGTATAACCCAGGTTTACTGGTACACCATGATTGTCGTGGTAGGTGTAACCCAGGTATATTGGTACACCATGATTGTCGTGGTAGGTATAACCCAGGATTACTGGTACACCATGATTGTCGTGGTAGGTGTAACCCAGGTTTACTGGTACACCATGATTGTCGTGGTAGGTATAACCCAGGATTACTGGTACACCATGATTGTCGTGGTAGGTGTAACCCAGGTATATTGGTACACCATGATTGTTGTGGTAGGTATAACCCAGGTTTACTGGTACACCATGATTGTCGTGGTAGGTGTAACCCAGGTATATTGGTACACCATGATTGTCGTGGTAGGTATAACCCAGGTTTACTGGTACACCATGATTGTCGTGGTAGGTATAACCCAGGTTTACTGGTACACCATGATTGTCGTGGTAGGTATAACCCAGGTTTACTGGTACACCATGATTGTCGTGGTAGGTGTAACCCAGGTTTACTGGTACACCATGATTGTCGTGGTAGGTATAACCCAGGTTTACTGGTACACCATGATTGTCATGGTAGGTATGTAACCCAGGTTTACTGGTACACCATGATTGTCGTGGTAGGTGTAACCCAGGTTTACCCAGGCTACACCATGATTGTCGTGGTAGGTGTAACCCAGGTTTACTGGTACACCATGATTGTCGTGGTAGGTGTAACCCAGGTTTACTGGTACACCATGATTGTCGTGGTATATGTAACCCAGGTTTACTGGTACACCATGATTGTCGTGGTAGGTATAACCCAGGTTTACTGGTACACCATGATTGTCGTGGTATATGTAACCCAGGTTTACTGGTACACCATGATTGTCGTGGATATATGTAACCCATGTTTACTGGTACACCATGATTGTCGTAACAACCAACTGATGAGGAGCATATCCTTTCATATATCAGTACCTGAAGTGTGGAGTACATTTTTAAGCACTGGTAGGAACCTAAAGTGCTCTACATCGTTAATGGAAGTCTGACAATTTTGTGCGATGTTTGAAAGATTATCCAATCTGACTGTGAACTAGTACCACTATTTGTGTTTTAACATGGCTTGTCGGGGTAAGTACACAGTAATTACTCAGCCCAGATCTGACTTCAGCTGTTGGGGTCTTCAGTGTAAGTCGACAGCTTAGAGATGTTGTCTGTTGAATGGTATAAACAGTAATCAGGATGGCTGACAGATACACGAAACAGGAATGCAGTGTGTCTTCACTGCCATACTGGACATGCTGTACAAGGGTCACAACCACCAGAGCACTGGGATAGGTTCCAGGGGTGGTGGGTGGATCTTGACATTTGAGGAGGGAAATTGTGTCTGGTAACCTTCAGGTGATCCATTGATTGGGGATGGGTACAGTTCAGCAGCCAAGGGGTGGGTTCCAGGGCTGGTAGGTGGATCTTGACATTTGAGGAGGGAAATTGCATCTGGTAACCTTTAGGGGATCCATTGATTGGGGATGGGTACAGTTCGGCAGCCAAGGGGTGGGTTCCAGGGGTGGTAGGTGGATCTTGACTTTTGAGGAGGAAAATTGCGTCTGGTAACCTTTAGGTGATCCATTGATTGGGGATGGGTACAGTTCTGCAGCCAAGGGGTGGGTTCCAGGGGTGGTGGGTGGATCTTGACAGTTGAGGAGGAAAATTGCGTCTGGTAACCTTCAGGTGATCCATTGATTGGGGATGGCTACAGTTCTGCAGCCAAGGGGTGAGTTCCAGGGGTGGTGGGTGGATCTTGACAGTTGAGGAGGGAAATTGCGTCTGGTAACCTTTAGGGGATCCATTGATTGGGGATGGGTACAGTTAGGCAGCCAAGAGGTGGGTTCCAGGGGTGGTGGGTGGATCTTGACAGTTGAGGAGGAAAATTGCGTCTGGTAACCTTTAGGTGATCCATTGATTGGGGATGGGTACAGTTCTGCAGCCAAGGGGTGGGTTCCAGGGGTGGTAGGTGGATCTTGACAGTTGAGGAGGGAAATTGCATCTGGTAACCTTTAGGTGATCCATTGATTGGGGATGGGTACAGTTCTGCAGCCAAGGGGTGGGTTCCAGGGGTGGTAGGTGGATCTTGACAGTTGAGGAGGGAAATTGCGTCTGGTAACCTTTAGGGGATCCATTGATTGGGGATGGGTACAGTTAGGCAGCCAAGGAATGGATCCCAGTGGTGGTAGGTGGATCTTGACATTTGAGGAGGGAAAGTGAGTCCGGCTATCTTATAGTGATCCATTCATTGGCTTCAGATATGGGTACAGTTTTACCAGACGAGGGTGATTTTTATTGCACATAAACATCGACTTGGGATACAAAGCTTACATGACTTGTTATAGAGAAAACTGAAACTCTGAATTATTGCTCAGAACAATGTAACTCCCCCCACCCTGCCTTTATGTATGATTCAGACCTAAATGTGCCTAATTTACTGTGAATGAAACGGTTGGAAAACTTTTCAAAGTTTGTCTCATTGGACCAAAAACATGTAATAAATGAACCTAAACAGACAAGAATAAGATAACATTTGTCCTTGTTCTCTGATAAAGAAACAGCTGCATTTATACAAACAATAACATCAATTTAACATCATTGATATTTTAATCCTCAAAGCTAGTAATAATTTTGAAGGCACAATTGTTATGTAATAATGAAAGGTACCAAGTACTCACTGGAATAACTGAATTATCACTTGTCCTTCTATGATTTGCCTTGGGGGAAAGAATGGGGGAGAGGCTGAGTCTAACAGTGCAGTTGTCCCCCCAACCCCCCTGTTGAGGGGATCCAGTTCTCCTTTAATTGACGGAGACATTCGTGATGCCTTGCAGGACAGGCTGCTGCCATTCCATGGGTTATGGCGTTTAAACCACTTGAAGTTGGACAAAAATACATTATTACTTAAATTCCTTTGATTATCAAACATTCGTGGTATAATCTGTTTGTTGATTTCTCATACAATGCACTGGGTGCCATATTAAACCAATTTTCTAGAAATGAAGTATTTATGCATAACTTTCAAATTCAGCAGTCGGGACGTGATTATGTGTTTACCGAGACAAATTTTATGGGAGAATAACTGAGTTTTAAGAGAGAAATTATTAAAATATATGAAATAATTAAATTAGTCGATGGATGAAATGTGGTTAAATGTACAAGAACAAGCAATGTCTTGTTTATCTTTATAGTTTATTTGAGCTTGGTAAGCATCTAATCATAATGTGGCTTTGAATTGAAAGTTTATGTCTGTATGTTGAGATTAATGGGATTAATGAGATTATACTGAAATGTTGGAAGGCGGAAAGTGGACACTACAGCCCAATGGCTGATTACACAGAATAGTGTAATCGTTATGGCAAACAGGGGAAAAGTAAGACTTGTGTGAAAATACAGTCAGCACTGACAGCAGAGGTTGATCATTTCAGAGTGAGTGAGTGAGTGAATGTAGATTGTGCTGACATTGGGAGTCCGGGACCAGACAAACTGGTGATTGACAAAACTCACTCACTTACTCACTTACTGAAGTAGTATCATATGATAACGGGTGATGTATTTAACAAAAAACACTTGTTCTCAGTACTGGTAGCCCCGACAGCCAGGTTTGATCCTGACTAGTTCTGGTTTGTTTGTACCAAACCATCATCCTGTGTTGGCAACATGAATGCTGACTGCCCACCCTCTTTGTTTCAGTGCTGTACATCATGGCGTGCTTGGTGCACTTCTTCTGCAAGAATGAGGAGTATACTCGGTATGTCCATAGCAACAAGAACATGCTGATGAAGGTGGCAATAAGGACAATCACAGGAAGCAGACATGCTGACATTACAAGCTAAAATCCATAATTGTTAATCAGTTAATCGGCCTGTAATCCATGCCTGTATAGTTAGATGGGTGAGGACGTGGAATCAACTGTCTCCAGTTATTAAAAATAGGACACAATCCGTGTATATGAAATAGATTGCTTGTTGTATTGGCTTGAGTTGTCTCCCCCCAACGGAGAAGTAGGTGACATCCCTCCCACCATCTTATTTCGTTTCCGTAGCAGATCCTGAAACCATACAATATTTCTTTGCCAAAACTGGTACCGGGTAAATAGATAGGTCTAGTGGTAACTCGGTGCCTTCATATAGTCTGATTGATAGGAGTTTGTGATGGATATGGAAACAGGTTCTGTCTGTCCGTTGATCACGTTTTGTTTCCAGAAAAGAACTAAAAAAATGTTGAACAGATCTTAACCTAGCAGGGTTTACGCATTAAAAACATAGTGTAGATGTACCTTTTTCTATTTAGTTTTTCCACATATATTTTTCGTATGAATTTTATAAATTTGAAGGGGCAGTGGGGTAGTCCAGTGGTTAAAGAGTTTCCTTGTCATGCCAAATACTAGTACTCCCCACATGGGTACAATGTGTGAAGCCCATTTGTGGTGTCCCCTGCCGTGATATTGCCGGAATATTGCTAAAAGCGGCATAAAACTAAACTTACTCACTATAAATTGAATTGAGTCCTTGAACAAAATGGAGGCAGTTGGATTCATTTCTGGAGCAGAAGTCAGAAACTGTAAGGGGTACATCCTTCTACAAAAACTTTCCCAAAAATATTTAAGTTATTTTTCCTTTTTATGGAAATGAGTTAAAGTAGGACTTGTGTTCAATTTGTGGCACAAGAAGGTCTTCTATAGCTGGAATACTGTTCAAAGCAGCAGACCAATCATTTTACACTTACTGCTTAGCAGGGAGTGAGTTAGTTTGGCTTAATGCTGCTTCGAACAGTTTTCTAGTTTCATAGCAGCACGTTAGAGGAAACCAAAGTGAAGCATGTCTAATATGTTTATTCACTTTGGTTGGTGCTGACAAACCAAGAAACATTACAGGAATGACTGGAATAACTGACCGGAATACAAATCTACGATCTTAGATTCCTGGCGTGCCCAAGGGACACAATTATGCACAGCGAGATTACATTGTGTGGGTAACCCGTGTCCCTGGCTAGCAGTGAGATATAAACACGCAACACCATGCTCTTGAAATTAGGCCCTTGTTTTCAGTAGTTGAAAGTAATTTAGTGTAGATAAAATTTGACAAGCACATGACGTCACTGGGTAACATGTTTTCCTGTGAGTGCTTGTGGCAGTGAGCACAGGTGCTGGACATGAAGCTTCTGGTGAGAAAGTGTTAATTACTGCGAGACTTAGGTTTATTCCTCTCCAGTCCTTAACTCATTACCAGAAAAATCTCATTTAAAATTGTCCATGACACTTACACAGCTAAACCTAGGTCTTCCTGTCAGCTGCTCAAGGGGAGATAATCAGGAATCATTCCCAGTTGCGTCAGACATTGAAAAACAACCAATTAAAATTAATTGCAGTGTATCATTTGCAGAATTGAGGAAACCGGGTTACCGGGGCATGTTTTGTTTTGAAAATACATGAAACTAGTTTGGGTATTTTGGGCTTACTTGATTGAGAAATTTCTGAAATCATCCACACTGAAAGTATTCATGCTTTCTTGTCAGAGTCAACCATTTGAGAATTTTGTAGCATGTATATTTATTTTGAGCAAATTGCCTTTAAGATGAATGATCAGAGAAGAAATTGAGTTGTTGAAAAAATGTAATTAAAGTATTCAGAATTGGTGGTATGGCTTGCCAGTCATTAGACTTGCACAAGTCTGGAGGCAACGAAAATTTGTTTAATTTATAATTCCTAAGTTACATACATGATAAGAACAGATTGTTCCTTCCATCCTTGGCTGAAGTATAAGTTTCTCGCCACTTGACAATTATGTGGATACATTTACTGTTCTTCCTTGGACTTGTGTGTGGCATAAAACTAAACTTAAACTCCTTGGACTTGTTCAGTACAGCCTTGGAGCAAGGCTAGCCAGGATCTGTACTGCACAGATTTGACATACTAAAATCTATAATCTGGATTAAATTTCAGACTTACGATTCTTGATACCCAGTTATTGTATATTTTTATTCTGGTATAATAAATATGCAGGACGCTTAAAATAACCATCCAATCAAATTACACTTGTGAGCGAGAGGAATCGAGAGATGTGACATCAACATGTCCTCACACTGGGTTGAGGGTGTTTATCATAACAGCATGGTGATGTTGTTAACATTAACTGGGCTCCTGCTTTGTCTAAAACTAATTGGACGACACTAAACATAACTTTCATTGCTCCTTGGTGTCAAGCAAAAACAAACGCAGACTCTGTACAGTTGGTTTGTGATGTGAAAGTACCGTGGACAAACTTAACATTCACAGACTACTGTGTTGTAATTAGTTTAGCTTCTAGAGGTAAAAAGTTCTCAGCATCAGTAATAGGGGTGTAACACATATGCTTATATTTCTGAAAGGTTCTGATTTTGATCATTTTGGGATCTACCGCCTGTTGGATAAAAGCTCTAAGCTTATGTCCATCACTTACCAATAGTGGCACCAGTTCAATTTAGACAATTCCTTCTTAAAGTTTTGCTGCTGGTATTTTTGTTGGTGTTCATGATATATAGCTTATAGCAGTATTAATGCCTTATCAGTTGAAGCATGAATGAATTTTTCTTTTTATCTAGGATGAAGACAGGTGTTAAAATTGGCGACATCACTATGACTTTTAAATCCATTTACCAAGACGTCCTTGTCGCTACAGGACATGTCCATGGCCCATCCGTGAGTTCATCTTTGTACAAGTAACACATCGTAGCTCACAACATTGATCATTTTAATGGTGTAAGGGAGGTAACTCTATTTATGTGTTTGCCCTCATGAATAATAGTGACTTACTTCCCTTGAATGGTAATAAATTTGTTTTACCATTGTGACTAATTTTCACTAAAGAATGTGTGTTTTGAGTCATGCTTATTCTTCAGGTATAGACATGTGATTCTTTTTTTGACAACATCACAGTGGGTTTTTTGTTAGTTGTCAGATGTTTTCTGAACTGAAAACAGCGCATTTTAAATATGGATTATAATACTAGAATGCATATGCTGTGATGCTTTGTTAAAACCATTTGAAATTCAACAAGCAATCATCTGGGAACAATCAACAAAGAAGAAATAATGGGGATAGTTGTATGCATATACAACTTATTCATTACAATAGTACAACATTTCAGTGTAAATGCTAAGACTGTTATCAAGCAAGTGTTAGCAGCTCAGGGCTCCAGATAAATTTTCAACATCATGAGTACGTACTCCTGACTGTTTCAATGCAGGAGTACTGGAAAACCATAAGAGTACATTTAGAGTACTTAATGGAATTTAATGGAGTATCACTAATCTTGTGTTTCGTTTCATATATGCACCACAACATTGGTACTCTTGTGTAAACAGGTCAATAAACTATAAAACAATACTTTTTTCAGATAAATATGATTCTAAGGCCATACACCATTGCTGTAGTGCGTATCTGCTACGTTTTATAAATTATTTCCTACCGTATCGTGCACATTTTATATCCGTACATACGCCGATACAGCCCTTATCTGGAGCCCTGCAGCTACACCCGAAATGTCGCATCTTTTGCAATAAAGAAATTGTGTATCCATAGAACTCTCTCCCTTGTTCATCATAGCAACTTTAAAATGCCACTCAGTGACGTAAAGAAGAACTATATTTGCATATATTTGTAGGTGATTTTACATGAGCTTCGATAATTATAGATGCTTCATTTATTAATGCATTTTTTCAATTTATGATTCTTAAATCATGAATAGACATTGTGTCTGAAAGTTTAATTCAGATTTTGAATGTAAGGTTTATTTGCACAAACAAATGTTTGAATGAATGTTGCGATTTCAGGGTCCTCTGAAGGAAGAGACTGTGAAGAATCTGAGCAAGTATGTTCTGAAAGATGACCGTCTGCCTGTGCTGCTGGACAGGTGAGTGTTGTGGAGCCAAGTTACAGTCAGGACAGTACAACTTAAGCCACTGTATACATTCATATCGAGGTGTGTTAGCAAGACTTGGCCTGAAACATCAACATGATTGTGATGAGGAGCTTGTTGATCTTTACCGTTACTAGTGAAACTCACGAGCATAAATAGCCTTGCCTGTTGTTCCACGTTGTACTGTGGCACCCTGAAACAAGCCTCCTTGGCTTGATAAAAGTTCTTTCAAACTGGGGATGAATAACATCTAAATCAAACTGATTATGGACAAAAATCTTACTCTGCTACTTTCTTTGCCATTTTATTTGTTTCAACAGTTTGTTGCAATTTTCTTTAGCCAATTATTTATATATTTTCAGATTGCGAAGGAATGGTGCCAAAGTGTTTCTTGCCACCAATAGTGGCTACACCTATTCAGATGTAAGTATTTTGAAATGTATTTACACTTTTAAACATATGGTTGTTGTGTTGTGCTGCAGTCAGCAATATTCCGGCGCTATCACAATGTCCTGTAATACATACATGGCAGGGGTGAAATACAGAGTGTATAACCCTTGTGTGGTATATATCCCATATCAGGAATACACTATATCCCCACTGAACTGGCTGTAGTAATTGGGGTGATGGGTATCCCTGTAGTTAAAGCAGTTGCTAGTCACGCCCATGACCCGGGTTCAATTCCCCACATGGGTACTGTGTGTGAAGCCCATTTCTGGTGTCCCCCATGATATTGCTGGAATATTGCTAAAAGCGGTGTAAAACTTTACTCACTCACTAACTCACTGAACTGTGTCCCCATTTAACTATATCCTCACTGAATTGTATTCCCACTTAACTATGTTCATACTGAATAATGTCCTTCTTGAACCATGTTCTCACTGATCTGCTTGTTCTCAGCCAAATGTTACCTCGTAGAAGTCTGTCCCCCGTGAAATGTTACCTTACTGAGCTGGGTCCTCATTTAACTGTGTCCCACCTGAACAATGTCCTCCCTGATCTGTCCTCACTGATCTGTGTCCTCTCTGAATTATGTCCTCTTTGAACTATATCTCCACTTAGCTACATTTTCCCGAACTCACTCAAATATGTCCTCATTGAACTGTTTTCCTCCTTTCAGAAAGTCATGAGCTACATGCTGGACTACCCTCCAGAGAAGGTAAGAGTGAGTGAGTGAGTGTGTTTAGCTTTACGCCACACTCAGCAATATTCCAGCTATATGGCGGAGGTCTGTAAATAATCAAGTCTGAACCAGACAATCCAGGGATCAACAGCATGAACATCAATCTACGCAATTGGGATACGATGACATGTGTCAACCCAGTCAGCGAGCCTGTCCACCCGATCTCGTTAGTCGCCTCTTACGACAAGCATGGATTACTGAAGATCAATTCTAACCTGGACCTTCACGGGTTACCAAAGAAGGTAGGAACAGCATTGGTGCAGGTGTATTATACAGACGTTAAACTGACTGCTTCTTCAGCATATCTGTCTTGATCTGAAACATCAGTTCACAGGACATATCTTATTTCAGGCACCAATACAGTTGGGCATTGCAGTTTTATGCATTGTTCAACCTTCTATAAATCATGCTTGTATGGTAATGGACCTTGTAACAAATCATTCAGAATGTGGGTAAGGAACTTGCTCGGTGTAACCACAAGTGCTGATATTGAGAACCTGTTCAGTCGACAGACGCCAAGAGAGACTGGACGTCATACTTCGACTACATCGTGGTGGATGCCAGGAAACCTCTCTTCTTCACTGAAGGAACCATCCTCCGTCAGGTGGACAGGGTGAGTCGACATCTGGCAGACGTCAAGTATGTCAGGACAGTAGCAAACAGAAGTTTTGTTGCTGTAATAAGTAATGGAGAAATCAAACTGGCAAGATGATTCTATCATACTCAATCATTTCAACAGAAATTCACTAAAGTATGAAGAGCGTATTGACAATGATATGAGTTGGAAAACTTACATTATTACATCAAAGTATTTTGACATTAGATATTGTTTTTTGAAACAAAGACACCTACGATACTGGAAAAATTATTGCAAAGAAACACAATGATAACATAAAGTTCTACATAAAATTTCTACTGTGGTGAAGAGTTGTGAGGGAAAGGTAACTACCTGAACACTGGTTTAGGCAGTTCGTAGGAGTCAATGTTCAGTGCTTGAAGCAGTCATAAAATGTCAATTTCCAGTTCAACCTTATATTGATTAAATGTGCAACTGTTTGAGACTGGACACACTTGTGCTTCTTTTGGTTGGAATTAAAGATGTACTTAAACTGTTCTTGAACACATATGTGAATCTCTAATTGTATATGCTTCTATAGATTTGATGAGTTGATGCAGCGTCTGGAGAGCTGATCATGATTACCTGTCATTTTAGGCCACTGGGTCTCTGAAGATTGGAACACACACTGGGCCTATTCAGTCTGGGCAGATCTACTCAGGAGGTTGGTTCACACACTATTCCATTGCCATGGTAACACAAACTTCACACGCAAACTGGTCCAGTCTCAGGTTCATTCAGAAAGGGAATTCAATATTCAGTAACCTACAGTCCAGGACATTATAGGGTTGGGTGGGCCTGTAGGTTTGGCCTCAGAAGTGTATGAAATCTCAACCGTACATACCCTTACTACATACTACGTTACATTTATTCATAAACCTCCCCATGCCCCGGTCCCCATAAAGAATGAGCTGTCTCTAAATAATGCTAAGTGTTTTAACTGGAAAAGATAGAACTGTGGTCACTTTTGATGGCCTCCCAAACCCATTAATTCTGGTGACCACCATCTTGCATTGTGTCATGGTTTCTAGAACCCCCCTCCTTATAACAATGGAGTCCCACAATAAAAGAGGAAATATACCTTAACATTTGCATGGTGATATGAATGTGTGCTGTCGGCAGGTTCTGTGGACCAGTTCTCGGAGCTGATGGGCACGTATGGCAGTGAGGTTCTCTATGTCGGTGACCATATATTTGGAGACATTCTCAAGTCCAAGAAGAGCCGAGGATGGCGAACCTTCTTGATCGTCCCTGAGATCTCCCAGGAACTTCAGGTGTGGACTCACAAGCAGTCCCTGTTCTCCAAGCTGGAGGAGCTCGACTGTAAGATTGGAGACATTTACAAGTGAGTACACCTCAACACACTGCATCAGAAATCCTTAAATCTTTGTTAGTTCATATCAACATCTACCTGATTATATGTTTATAGGTTTGTTAGCACCATATGTGGGTTTAATATGTCAAAGATCTGCATCTCTGTGGGCTCCATCGTCATAAGCTGACGTCCGCAGGGATCTCAAATAGTTTTCAAAGTGATGTTAAAGCAGTGTGATTTCAGTAAGTAAACAATTCAGCATTCAAATTAATTCTGAAAGTTAAAGTTTTCATGACCAAAATATTGAATAAAACAAATTTAGGAGTGTCCACACAAGTACTACAACAGGAACTAAGAAACTGATAAAATTTCTAAGACTGCAAGCTGCCTATATGTAGCAGACCGCCTCCGAGGTGTAGTGGTTAGAGCGTCTGCCCGGAGAGTGGAAGGTCGTGGGTTCGATCCCTGACCGCGTCGTACCAAAAGACGTTAAAATATGGTACTTGTTGGTCCCTGACTGGCGCTCGGCATTAATGGATACAACAAGGACTGGTCGGCTCGGTGTCAGTATAATGTGTCTGAATGGGGTATTCATGCTTAACTGCGGCATGGTATCTCAGTGGGCTAGCACTATAAAACCAGCTTAAGTCTGGGCTAGTACAAGCAGCCACACATACACATACACACGCATGCACGTCGTCATATGAGCGAAATATTCTCAAGCAACGTTAAACCCAATTTCACCTCACCTCACCTATATGTAGCAGGGCGTGGATGACATAGAAGACATCCTTACCTTGACAGCATACTTATGGGGTTAGCCTCTTTGGTCATGTGGACAAGGTGTCCGACTTCGGATCAGAAGGTCCGTGGTTTGAATCCCAGCATGGCACTCGGAAATTTTATGGCATACAAATTATGCAATATATGCAACACAAGTGCAAGATGTAGGCTTTTTTCAGAAACCTGGACAGTAGCAGCCAGGTGAAGCCAGACATCACAAAGATACAGACGTCAATTAGGGTAAGATCTGTGTCCAAGATGGAACTCATCTTGAAGTAGGTACAGATGTCCATTTGGTAAAGATCTGTGCCCAAGACAGTCACTTATCATGAAGTTGGTACAGACATGAACTATGGTAAGATCGGTGACTCAGAAGGGAACTCATCTTGGAGCAGGTACAGACCTCAAATAGGTTAAGATCTGTGTCCCAGGCAGGAATTCATCTTGAACTGGGTACAGACGTCCATTAGGGTAACATCTGTGCCGAAGATTGGAACTCATCTTGAAGTAGGTATAGATGTCTAGAGTTAGTTAGTTATTCATTTGAATTGCGCTGATGAGACCTGCCAATAGATGGTCAAAAGAAACTGTCAAGTATTTGGGTTGGGTCTACTATTTCCATATTTGGGGTAGGTATTCCCTTGGCTGAAGGCTGGTTTGGTTGCCTGAAGGTTAAATCATTCGCTTGTCACACCGAAGACCAAGGTTCGATTCCCCACATGGGTAAAATACCCGAACGTATATTGCTGGAATAATGATAAAGGCGCCATAAAACAAAACTCACTCTCTCACTCGTTGGCTGAAAAAGTAATGGTTTTGTATACTTATTTCAGGAAGTCACTCATGAGATGGATATGGCCTATGGAATACTGGGAAGTCTCTTCAGAAGCGGTGAGGTCATGCTGGTCTTCATTTGTATAATCCAGTGATCATATGTATAAGAAATGGATGTCTGTTCTTGGTTTGATGAAGGGTATGGGATTTTATAAAAGTCCAGATGTGGGCTCAATTCTTAAGAAATTGAGGTGTGTGCACTATTTCATGAAAAGTGTAGTGTATTTAACAATAGTAAAGCATCGTGTGGGATTTTACAAAAGTATAGTGATGTGTGAGACACAAAGGTGAACAGTATTTATCGAAGGTCGAGGGATTTACAGGATTATACAAGAGATACATTTGAGGTTTCTTCAAATTGACACCATGGTCTTTGTGTGACTTTTACAGTGTGCGACATAAGTTGACTACTATAGTACACATCCACTCACACAATCACTCACTAACACATCCACTCACACATCCACTCACACAATCACTCACACAATCACTCACTAACACATCCGACCGTTGGTATCAAAATGGCATAAGTTCCTTAATTATGAGACAGCATAGTTCCATCACCACATCTAGTTCATATATTATCAGTTCGATTATGTTCTAATGGAGAACTACTGTTTCATGTTCCCTGTTTCCAGGATCACGCCAGACATTCTTCGCCAGCCAGGTGATGCGCTAAGCCGACCTGTATGCTGCGTCCTTCATGAACCTCATCCACTACCCGTTCACCTACATCTTCAGGGCTCCAGCCATGCTGGTAATACTGCAGCCTTGGGATACTGCTTTCCAAACAACTCATAACATGCAAAACCAGAAAGGAATATTTGCAAGTTTAATGACTATTAGCAATAGATATCTTAACTTAAATGATAACACAGCAAGTAAAAGTAACGGACCTGTACAGATTAATGTGTTTTTGTGACAAACCTGATCAGTATGTGAGAAAATTATATGAAATAAAGGAGAGAATTCAGATTTATTGTTTGGTCTTCAAAAAAGGTTTTGAGTGTGTTGCCATGAGTAGAATATTCACCAAGAATGTACGTGCAATTCTGTTGCGTTGAGGGGAAATGGATTAATCAGTTTTGTAATTCACAATAATTCGCTAAGCAGAGTTACGTCTCCTGGGCATGCCCAGAACCTATGATTGTGCTTTATAATCGTGGTTTGCCTCTATTGTTTCTCTATGGTCTGTCAGCAAAGTTCTAAATATCTGAGACCTGCCTCACTTCAGGCTGTCCTCCATAACTGGAACACTGTTCATAGCAGCAACTCACTCCGTTTTATCTCTGATATGTGAATATGAAAACTGCTGAATAATAACATCATCATACCTTTGAGACTAACTTTCAATTTGTTTAGAGCATCAGTGCAGTGATACCTTGGAAAATTTGATTATCCTGTCCAGGACAAAACAAGATGGCTGTTGGCATCTCACTGTAACTCCATGTGCTACTGAGTACAAGCATTTTAACTATTTTTTCCAGATGCCTCATGAATCCACTGTTGGCCATGATGCACCTCTGCCGGATGACACTCCTCAGTGCTTTGCTGACCGCTCCCGTTCCAACGAAGGGGTTGCCCACAACGAGACCCCGAAACGCTACCGTCTGACCCGTAGCGCTAGCCTCGTACCCCGCCTGCATGCCCCAACCCCCAGGCAGTTCACCCAAGTTCAGGATGATGATGACGAAGTTGACAGCTTTAACCCTCTTGCCCCATCTGTTGGTAGTCTAATAGAAGGGGAAGAGGAGGACAATGCTTAAAGGGGATAACTCTAGTTCACATGGTTGATGGCAAGTTGTTAGTATGTTCATCTCAGGTTGTGGTTGGACTTTTCTATTTAGTCTATATATGCGACATTCAGAATAGTGTCATCCTAACAACTTACATCACCATGTATATAATCGGTCTACAGAGGGACCATTGTGTGATTTACTCGACATTCTTAGCCAAGCTTCCTAGATAATTCCTGCAATGTTTCCGAACACAACTCAGGTTGTTAATTGAAGGGTTATGAGAGTCACAATTTGTTTACTAGATGTTTACAAAAATATACTACTCAAAAGATGTTAAAGAAATCTGACTTAGTTCATATGACTGTAGTCAAACTGTCGTGGTATGTTCAGCAACTCACAGCCTCCTAGTTGTGTGATCTGGGACTTGTTTTGAGTAGTATACAACCTCACTCTGTTGAAATGTTACAGATATGTTTTGGTGTTTAGTGGAATTCCACCTTTTATTATGGTAATGAATTTTATATATTTTGTACTGTTCAAATAAGCATCAACCTTCTTATATTACTGTATCTGTCAATACATGAAGGAAGAAGGAAACATTCTGAGTTGTCATAACTCGAGATATATGCCTTAGTGGCTTGGGGAATTGAATGAAAAGTTTTATCCTGTTTAAAGTTTCTTCGTAATTTACTCATGAACAAGACGTTTCCACTTAAATGTTCAACAAAGTAGAGAGGGGCGGACTATATTCCTCCAGATCTAACTCAGTGGTGAATACACAATGCCAGTTAGAAAGTGGTCAAATGTAACATATGTTATATTTGGGATTACACTTTCTCAGTAAAGTACAGATTTGAGACTGGTTAGGCATCTGACTTTGTGTGCTGGCAATAAGTGTCTGACTGTGAGGGTGTGGGTTCGAATCCCAGAAGGGACTCAACCCAACATAAGTACTAGAATCTGTACTTTACTGAGAAAGTGTAATCCAAACATGTAACTCAGTGATGCATGGTCTGGATAATTTTGTTTCAATTGTCATTTCTCATGTTTTTCCGAAGTATTTGAACAGTTGATGGAGAACGGTATCTCAATGGAGAACAGTTAATAATACCAGCAGTTCTGCTATATTCTGTTTGGATTAGCTATGTCTATATCAAGTCATATAGTCTTGGATGGAATCTCATGTTGTTTTAGTTTTATGGTCATTTATCAGTATTTTGCCTTCTTTCTATTTCTGGAGATAATGTTTCAATGAGATTCTGGAGATTATATTTCAAAGGAATTTCTTACAAAGTTCTTTTTGATCTTTTAGTCTAGTTTCTGTGTAGATGTGCTGTAGGAAGATATATGTGGCATAGTTTCAACATTCCAGTGAGTTCCAGTTGAACCTTGATGCAAGTATATGTGATTAAAAAAACAGTTCCTCAATACTATCCTCTTATGTAAATGGCATTACAGTACTGAACAGTATACCTTTGAGATTTATGTATGTGTTGCAATTTTTTACTACGCAAAATAAAATATGCATGCAAATGAGAAAGGCTATGGTGCTCCTCACAGTTAGTGTCAAGTTACTATATTTTGTTACTGATTGATTCTCTTTATGTGTTTTTTTAACTTTTTAGACTTATATTCACATGATACAAATAGGTTGAAATAGCATGATGCATGTATTACCATTTTATATTTTAGAATTTTCAATTTTAATACTAGTACCCTTTTTTCTTGACAACCCATGTAGAGTGATAACTGTTGAACTGGTATCTTAAAGGTCACATGCAACGTAAAGCACAACTTTGCAGATTCTGATACCTTTCGGTATGGACTTACCGAAACAAATCGTCAAAAAAGCAAATTCAACTTATAAAGTTGAGCGATGAAAAAAAACGCGTGAAATCGGAGTTCAAACGTTTCACTAATTTTCCCCCGACTTTTCTGGGGAAAACGGGTTTCAACAGCTGGGCTGCGCTCATAGCACGTGCGCAGTGAAATAGGTTCGCGCAGCTTGGAAGCGGGTTGTCCGGTGAATACTTGGTGAAGGCTTTGGTGTGAGCTATTTTTCTAATGTTTTGTTGATATCTCACAGACTCGAGATTTTTATATGTTATGACAGTAAATTAACTGTTTATATAATTTCATGTGTCTATTTCACCACACGTTCTTCTTACCGAGTAACTTTCTCAGTTCGATACTTAAAAGCAATGTCATTATTTAGCGTTGACAGAATTTCTAACTGTGATATAGATATGTCGTTGTCACAGACAAAACTCAATGTCTTGTTTTATTGACACCTGTGTGTCTGCCTGCCTGCCTGTCTGCTAATGACAATATTCAATACACAGCTGCTATCACTGACCGCATGCAATTTGAACTTAACACCAATCAGGCTATACACCATAAACAAAATGCATTGATTTATGGCCCGAGTTCGGTCTCTGTCACATTATGTAATTACACAGACAGGCAGGCGTGATACTTGAACACATGACATGTTATGATTTCTGTTGATTGCAAAATGTTATACACAAAAAATGAGTATGTATTTACAAAACCCAACATCTCTATATATACACACACAATAAGCCGTGAGGGCATCTGCAAATAAACCAGCCGTTACACTTGAGTGCACAACCACCCGCTCTGACTGGGTTCGGTATCCCAGCTGCTTCGTTTCTTGGGAAGTAAACCGAAGTACACAATATTGCACTTTTGATTTGCGATTGTACACTTATAATTTTGTTTATATGCTTTTTCATAATCAGCAATGTATATTATATGTCATGAATAAGTGATAACTGTGTTTTAATTATGTTTGATTTTTTGGTTGCATGTGACCTTTAACTCAGCCTGTACAACTCTATGTGTCAGCTGTCACATCACTGATACATTTCCTTAATCCAATATTGAATTTTAAGTTGATTAAAATCTGTTTTTATGTAATGATGGCATTATCCCTGTTCATTCAAACTGCACTGTCAGTTTTCTGTTTGTCAACCTACTGGGTACCCACTTATAACTCAGAGGCCAGCCATTTCCAAATGTGTGTGAACTATAGGCTGTGAACAACCCAAGTTCTGGTAGCTAAGTTACAAATTATTAGAACAAATGTTAAGAATCTCATGCTTAGGCATCACATCTATTTAAAGAAAGAAATGAGCATACTGGCAATTTAGGCTTTTCAGTTTTATATAGGATGACTGAATCAGTGATGAAACTTGACATTCAGGGACCAACATACAACACCGAATGTGTTCCCATTAATAGAGTGTGTTCGGTATCCTCATCAGTTGTTACTGCTCTTTATACCTTATGACCTTTACAGTTCTTATATATATTGCATTATATTATGAAATAAAAAGTTCTAACCATGTTATGTTTTCAGCTTATTTTTTCCCTTGTCCATGTATCATGTGTATGTTGTAGTTTATCTGTATTTTACACACAAGTAAACAAACGCATGGATGAAATACTTGACGTCTTCCTGTGGCTGTAAGTTTTGGAAGGGCCAGTTCAACACCAGGCGGCACTGCTGCACAGTTTAACCTGTATTGCATTACTCTGTAACCATGGTAACACATGACACAGTTTTTCTGGGACTTCATCATTGGTCACGGATGATGGACCATTAATGGTTATTGTGGTATGAGCCTGCATCAGGATGTGCAGAATTAAATCCTTAATTGTACATTGATCCACTGGTCTGGGTTTGAATCCCAAATCGTCCTGATCGTCATAGCTGGTCTTTCAACACTGAAAACTGAAGCCAACTAGTTTATGGATCCACTAAAAGAGAGCAGTATATTTTTATTCTTCAAAATGAAGACACTACAGGAAACAAAAGTATATATTTAAAAAAGTGAGTGAGTGAGGTTTGCATCACTTACCAGTATGCTAACAATATCACTCCAGGAAACACTAGAAACAGACATTGTTCCCATGTTGAAATGAACCAGGGACTAGAACCTGGGTCTTGAACCGAGGTCTTTGGCATGACGAACAAATGCTTTAACTACAGGACAACCCTGCTGCTCCTTATTAGTAATAAGAGAGACAAGGAGTTTAATGTAATAATTATTTTATTATGGCCTAGGGTAAATATATTTGTTTTATTAGCCATTGTCTGGATAAAACTGATTTATGCACAAAATACAAGGCTGTGACCGTATACTGGCGTAAAAAAAACAAGATAACTAGTGTGAAATTAATGTTAATAGCCATATTGTCTTAACGTGGTCAATGAGCAGTGTTTGTTTCCAATAGTGATACCTGCAACGTGTAGGCAATAATATAGGTGATGTAGCTCACTCGACAGTAGATTACCTTGTAAAGTATTAGATAAACATGACGCAAAGAAAAAACAACCTTCCAGTGGTTCCATACATTATTCACTGTTGCTGTATATGGACTATACACATTGATACCATTAGATATATCAACATACCTCACTGTAAACACCCAGCCTACTGGATATCATTATAATATGGCTACCCAAGCGGCCATGTTTACTATCCTGTCACATTCAGAAATATTTGACCAGATGGATTCTGAAGTGTTGCAAAATGAAAAGATTTGAAAGACAATATGCTGTGACATTATCTAACACAAACCATTATTAATGTCAGCTGAAAATTGGGATTTCATTGACTAGCAAGTTTTGTATAAATATACCGACCTCGAAAACAACCTGACATGCCAATACATATATTGATTGACAACATAAAGCTGCTATTATGTGGTCAGATAAAGAACCTGCAATAATCAACTTAATGCTAAATAGGAACAAGGCTGATCCCATTAAATGTTTAAAATTGAATTCCCTGACTACTAGTATTTATTGTTACTTTAGTATTGATAAAACAGTTTGATATAGCAGTATACAATGCCTGTCCTGGCTAAAGAATATAACACTGACCTGTTCACCGAAATATCAACAGTGTTCTAGATATAAAATATCCAATATTTCACATATATCATATGTTTGATCCTTCGTCTTTCATAAGCAGATATTATACATGATATTGGTGGTAAAAAATAAATATATATCTGAATATAGTTTAACATGATAAATAGGTTTCTAAATGCTGTACTCTTGTGTACCATAGTTTGTATGACTACATGTTCTGTGGATGATGCACTGGTACAAAATATCACAGTGAATTCATGTAACCAGTTATTAGTGTTGAACACCGGTATATACATCTACACTGATGCAAACTGCAGCCTCTAAGTGCTATATCTGGTAGCAGGACACCATGGCTGGGTAATTTTGTAGTCTCCTCAACACTTTCATATCATGCTACATAAAAATGAGACAAAACCTGCACCACCTTATGAAACAGTTAATGAAATGTAAAAGTGAGGCACAAAAATCTGACATTTTCATTCCCAGGTTCACAATGGTACTCATTACCTGATTCACAAGGTGTACACTAAAGCTTCAAAGTTTGATCCAACAGTTGATGCATTGTGAGTTTCCATGACGACATTGAGTAATGCCAAATTGTATTGCTATTGATAACAAAATCTACAGGAAGCATTCTTTGTGATTGTGTGCTCATATTATATAAAGTTGATCTTGGTGAATTCACATTTTCATGTTTTGGGACCTTTTTCAAAATTTGACTTTTTAATTTAAGACACTTTCAGGTTTGAAAGCACAATGAAACCAAACTTTATAAAAGGACCAATTAAGGGAAAGTATTTCAGCAAGATCTCATCAATATGATCAATGCACATAATGAACAAAATATCTTGCAATTAATCACTCAATTGCATAGTCAATGCTATAATAAGTTTACGAGAAAACAAATGAAAGCTCCAGATATCAACATGACCACTCAACATTCCCTCAAAATGACAAATAACAACGACATCATTTCTTGCAGTATGTAATTCATCTGAATACTTAACCTCTTTTACATCATTGGCCACAAATTCCTATTTGGGCGGTCACCACACAATGAAAACTTTCAAATCATGTTTCCACTCACGTACATATTAAATAGTCATCAGGCAAACACTATCCTACGCCAGATGCAACAGTAAAAGGTCATTCACTTCTTTCCTGTGTGCCTAGATGTAAACATTAAAATAATTTTATTTAACAATGTAACTTCTTTGGACCATCTTAAAGATGTACAGACCCATCTCTGGAGACTATACTCTCCTTCTCCTTAGAGCATAAGTGACAGTACCCCAGTAACATCTCCTCCACATTCTCTTGTGAAGTAGAAGGATTGTTAAAGTTTCATGAACACCGATAAAAACTCAAGTGAGTTGATCCGTGCATACTCATCTACCTGTGGTGGGCAGATCACTGGCTAATGCCTGGAATCACAGGTCAAGGTGACATAGCGTTTCTCCATGTTAGTATCGGATTAAGCAATGTACACTGGGAAATCATGCCATAGGAGACATTAGTACCAAGGGATACATCGCCTATACACCTACATCACTAACATGTAATGGAAGTGACTTCCCTTGAGGGAAATGACAACAATGTGTTAGCCCAGCACGTGGTAATGGATGCTACTATGTGAGCCTAAAGGTGCAACTAGTAATATCTAGCGGATGTGACGTCATAAGTGATATATACCACAACAAGATAGACTCTATAAATGGGAGACCGCCTCCATGGTGTAGTGGTTAGAGCGTCCGCCCGGAGAGCGGAAGGTCGCGGGTTTGATCCCCGACCGCGTCATACCAAAAGACGTTAAAATATGGTACTTGTTGGTCCCTGCCTGGCGCTCAGCATTAATGGGTACAACAAGGACTGGTCGGCTTGGAGTCAGTATAATGTGTCTGAGTGGGGTATTCATGCTTCACTGCGGCATGGTATCTCAGTGGGCTAGCACTATAAAACCAGCTTCAGTCTGGGCTAGTACAAGCAGCCGCACCTACACATACACACACATGCACGTTGTCATATGAGCAAAATATTCTCCAGCTCGACGTTAAACCCAATTTCACCTCACCTCACCTATAAATGGGAAGTTGTGTCTTAAAATGCCCAACCTATAGGATCTGGAATAAGTAAGGTCCTCAAAGGGATTCAGGTATTGGGAGAGAAAGTGTTTGACAGTGAGTGACACTGTACATACAGATCTTATTTTCAACATACTAAGACCCTAAATCCCTAATGTTCTGATAACAGCAGTCTTTTAATCATTTTTCTTTACTGTACAATTTTCAATGTATGTTGTTTTGTCAAATTTTGCCAAATAATTACAACGGAAACATCAGCAGTGCATGAAAGTTTATGTAGATTTTAACTTTAACCACAGAAATAATCACAAAGCTTCACATACTTTTTTACCTTACGAACCGGTTATCAAAACAAATATTGCAATACGTATCATTTCATACGTATATTGTGGAATACCGGTAGTAGTATGCAGTCCCATTTTGCAGTGAAGAGGACATCTGTAAATACACAAAGATTTATGGTGTGATGACAACCAAAATAGAAATTTATGGCTAATGATATAATACAGGTAGAATTCTAACAATTATACGCAATGATCAATATTTCAAAACATTACATATTCAGCACATATATATATTATTTAAGAATGAAGCTCTGATTGAAATACTATGTTAACTTTCTGGAAGTAACATTCATAAAATATAAATACACAACAAAATTCAGCATGAAATCAGTGTAAAAGAACTGTGTTAATAAATAATATTGTGGCGTAAACCTTCCACTTGATCTACATTGGCTACACATGCTTCTGTCATTCCATGGATTGTTGTTCATGCTGTCAATCACTGGTACACTGGTCGAGGCTTCATTATCTACAGGAAGCCATAACCCTTGATTGCAACCAACAGCAGCATCAAACCTTCATTAGCTCATATTCCTGATATTTACTCCCAGACTATGGACAGCTGGAGGTTGTGTTTTTTCACATATTTCCTGTAACCATCAACATCTTGTTGGGTGGTGTCCTGACAGTTCCTCAGACACAGAGCACACAAGGGGTTCTCACAACGGATCAGTCTTGATATTGCATCCCCACTGATCCTATTGCAGGACTCCAGAGTCAGGGAAGACAGAGACTGCATACCATGCATCGCTATGATACGAAGGAGCAGATCAGAGGACATGCACTGGACATTGATCAGATGCAGCTCAGAGAGACCAGTTGCATTTTCTAAAATTTGTTCAAACATAGATGCACTAAAGTCAGTACAATCATTTCCAATCACAACCATGAGATTGTCCAGATCTCTATAAATAGATCTCAGATCCTTTCCTGATAATGGAGTGTCAATAAATGCAACAGAGTTAAACACTGCCATTACACATTTTAGTCGTTTTAATTTGGGGCACAGAACACCAAGTTGTCCAATGTCAAGATCTTTTATGTCATACAGGCCGAGGGACCGAATGTTGGGGCCTATTGACAAGAAGAGAGGCTTTAGACCATCGAAGAATGTCACATCTCCCCATTGGTCACTTGTAATTTCCAAGGTATTCAAATGCTTTAATTCTTTGAGGTATTGCAAAGTTGAATCATTTGCATTTTGGTAAAAATTAATTTCCGTCACAAAGGGGCAGCGTAGGACCGCAAGCTGTACCGACTCTGGGCTGACCTCTCTGCATTTGAGTCCACTGGCATTGAGTGTCCTTAGCTTGAGATTGTGTTCGTGGTCTGATGAGTTGCTTATCTGAGCCACGGCATCAATAACATCTGCATACAGCAGAACGTGGAGATTGGGACACATATTTAGAATGATGACAGCTCCCTTACTGCTGATCTTTGTGGCACTAATGTTCAGGTATGTCAGACTCACACCACTGGTGCTGCAGGTATTCTTCTGCTTCATATTTGAAGAGCTGTTACCATTCTCAGGTTCCTTGAAAATGTTGGTGATTCCTCGATCAGTAACAGGACAGGCAAATAGATTCAGATGTTGTAGTTTCTTGCATGAAGATAGAATAGTGGTTAAAACCTGGTCATTGGTCTTTGTCTGACGTAGATTCAGCCAGCGAAGCAATGGAAGACTTTGAAAAATACTGCACAGAACAGTTTGGCTGGCTACACTGCAGTTGGAGAGGTCTAACTTTGTCAGCTTCTACAAAATATGAAATGCACATGTATGTGAAATGTGTTGATTTCTTTCAGAATCTCTTGGCAGTTTTGCTCTTAGTTATTCAATGATTATCAATCTCTATGATTTATATCAATTGACAGCACCTTAAGACAATGAAAAGAATCATGAAATGAAACAAAAACTTGGGCAAGCTGAATAAAATATGTGCTAAACATTTTTTAACAAAAGGAAGAACAGTGGTGTGTGTGCTAAGATTAAAAAATCAGAACTCAGCATGTGTATATAACACATATATTAAAGTCTACAGGTCATGATAACTATCTCTTTAAGTGTTAGAAGCTTTGGAACACTCGCAAAATGTTCACTGGAAATGTTTGCATATTTATTACTAAAATTATGCTACTATGAAATGTATGTTCCTGCATATTCAATGAAATTCAAATTATTCTTTCTCTGTTATTGTTTCCTTTTAGTACTGTTACTTGTTGATGTTTATGGACTGCTTTGATGTTCAATGTCAAGGTTTCTTTATACTACACCACACAGGTGCAAGGGGAGTAGTAGCATCAAATAAACAGGGGAGACTGGTGTCCAACAAGATACATGAGTACTAACCCATGAATGCATGATGATCATGGCTGATAGGTTGATATCATCCAGTATTCACATGATTCATAAACAGCACACTGTCAGAGGTTGATCACTGGATTGTCTGGTCCAGACTCAATTATTTACAGACTGCTGACATAAAGCTGAAAAATTGCTGAGTGTGGCGTTAAACACCAACCAACCATTTAGAGAGCTGTATAATATGTAAGAGACAGACACCTGGACAGAAGTTAGCAAAGTAGAATATTTCACCTGGCATCTGATGCCAACTAGATGTAGCATGCTAGTCATGTTTGAACACTTGCTGAAGTCCAGTTCCTTAAGGCGGCCAGTGAGAAGAAGATGCATGTGTGACCTTCTTACTCGGTGGTCAGCACACAGGGTGTCCAGAAGTTCTTGAATCATTTCAGAAGCTAGAAAACAGAAATGAGTGAAATGAATAAACCATCATTGTCATGTAATAATTTATCTGTTCATCCTTAGCTATTGAGTGACTTGGTTTTCGGTTAAAGCCTTTAGACTAGCCTCAAGCTATAGCCAGAGGCTCTTGACAGATTTGTCTGCTATTTGAGTCACTTCTGTCCAGACTTATTGTACTAAGCTTCTTACAAGTCTGTCTATTTGAATTTGAATCACTTCCAGTGAAGGAGTAAGTATATACTCTGAAACTCATTGTGTTCATTATGAGAAAACTGACATTAATAAATTCTCTCTTTTGTGTGTATCACTCCTAACTGCGGAGCACCTTTAGAATACAGCACCACAACTTCTCGTGAGGACGATCTCTGCCGTAGGTCACGTGTCATTAAGACAAGCAACCAGTTTGTGAGAAACCGTCGGACGCAAACCCGCGACCTTCGGGTTGTTAGCTAAACAGCTAACCGACTGAGCTACATCCACACTGTTCACATCGTGCAAATGTATCGAGTCATTCCTGTGACGTCACGGCAATGAACGGAAAAAGTCGAATAGGTCACGGACAATTACGAAGGTTACGGGTAGACTTGGTGTCTCGTGATTTTAATCTACGGACAATGGCCGAATGGACCCGATGCCATTTGGCACACTCGTCCCATTCCGTAATCTTCAAGAATGGGCCGATATGCCTCAAACTGAAAAAGGTTGTTGACGTCAGGCGTCAGTCGTAGATGTCATGGTGCATGCATTAATGCCACGCTTTGATATAAATCGGTGATTTTGTGACAGAAAAGTGATGTAGGGAACACTGTAAGGATAATGTGGATCGCACTAAGGAACGAGGGAGACATGAGCATGTGTAGTGACGGCACAAGGGTGAGTTAGCCTTCGAATCATTACTGAACAAATGTTGCGTGTGAAAGAGGCTTGAGTGCAAATTCCAGGCCAATTTGTACATTAAACCATTTCATAGTGTACTTTCGACGTTTTCGGTTTCCCGTTTTTGTGTGAAAGAAAGTATTAAAATGCAAATAATCGAATATATATAATACAGACCGGTGTAACGCATTCTCGCTAAATTTAAAAAATACAAAGTACAATAATACACAAAACATAACACCTCAGCACCCCATAATACAAATAAATATGAGCGTATTAGTGAGAAAAAAATAATTTTCAAACTGGTGCTTGCAAAAAATTGCGCATCCGCCGGTATACAACTACTGGAAACTCTCAACATCGTTGGGCTTATGCAATAACATAGCCAGTAGAGATAAAATACCAGTGAGTGGAGCACTCGCTGAGCTAGACAACCGTGTTGCCATGCAGGCGTCATAGGGCATTGTTTCGAGAACATGCTTTCGAACAAAATCACATTACATTACATAAAAGGGTATTATGACGTATTTTTAAAGTTTGTTGTGCTGTATTCTAAAGGTAGGCCCTAACTGCCATTCAAAGACAAAACCTAGCTTCTGTCTGACAAGCATTTGGCCCTCTGCTGCTACTGAACTTCTGGAAGACTAATTTGCACAATAGTACTCCTGCTAGGCCTATTCTTGATTGTCTCGGTCAAGCCTTGCTCCAATGCTGTACTGAATGAAAGTCCATGGATCTGTGGTAATTCTATGATCATAGCAGGAAAGAGATAGATATGCAGTCTATTTATGTCTAGGGTACGGTGTTCTCTTATTACTTATATATAGGAATATGATCTAGAAAAATTCAATCTGAAAATAAACTAATAATTATTGCCTTAGAGACCTGTTCAAGTTTAGCCAAGAATGTTGAGTAAAAAGCTAATATTTGCTGAAAAGGAAATGCACAGTAAACAGCGTCATTGACATAGAAACTAAATAAAGGACAACATTCTAATCTTGATTTCTCTTCACAACATTTTTCGGAAAGTTGGATCCTAGCTTAAATCGATAACAAGGGCCAAGTCATTCAGAACACTTCGTACCTTTACAGCCTCTGCGAATCGATGGGAGTAACAAAAACATAAACCACGAATTAACAAACCGACCTATGTAATAAATGTCAAAGAATGTTGAGTACTCACTCATGTAATCGAATGGGCCCAGAACATAGTAAAGGCGTGGGGTATCCGCGAAGAGACGGTCGAAGTCTGCACTCCATAGTCGATCCATGTTCTTTGATATGTTGCGAAGACATGCTTGCTTCAGAGTGCGTACAGTATGGGGTACGGGCATTGCGAAAGTTGAGAGTAAATTCCTGTCACCACGCCATTTCCGTGTCTAGCAGACGACAAGAATGCTCACATTCGAGGCTGAACCCGGAAACAGAAGTCCGACGTCGCTGCTGTGCCAAGCTCCACACAGCAATGTCTTGTCGCGCTCGAGAAGGTAACAACTACATGTCAAACACTGATGTGGAGCTTCTAAGGTATGCAACGCGCGCTCCCTGGTGGCAGATTGCCTAAGCTGGGGAAACATCATGTTGGGCTCGGTCTATTCTTATCTGAAGTAGACGACGCGCAGTGAGAGCCGGGAACCAGCTCACGCTTGCGTTACACCGGCCCTACAAAATTTGAGGGCGTCGTCAAAACGTTTTCAGGAGGGGAAACTAACGTCTGACAATGTTGTGCCCATACTGTGGAGAAGATGCTGTAATCAAAGATAAGATAGGAGCGCACGAACAATCAATTTGTTCCGAGTGTGGTTTGGTTGTGTCTGACCAAACTTTCGAGGATAGTACAGACTGTTACTTCAACGCTCCGTCACTCGGCGCCCTGCCCACAGGGGCAAGCTCAAGTTTACTCGCTGCTAAAAGAGACGCCGATAAGAAAAGTGACTTTGTCAGCCCCATCGGTGTAGAGGAAATAACGTGCATATGCAGTGCGATGGGGGGCATCAGCAGTTCTTGGAAGGAAGAAGGAATGATGATATATGAAGATGCATGTAAACATCCAGACATGGAGGTTAGAAACAGATCCAAACAGTTCAAAGAAGCTTTGGGTGCTTGCTGTATGTATATTGTTTTGCGCCGACATGAGTATCCAATCACTGCAAGGGAAATGACAAGTTCAAGGAGACTACCCATCAATGACTTCATTTTGATGTTGCGTCGTATGAAACAGATAATGAAAATTGAATTGCCAAGATGGAGCATGGGGCAACTCACGGCCCATACACTGCAGAAAGCAAATTTTGATAGGGGGGTTATTGAAAGAACCCAAAAGCTGATGCAAATATGTGATAAATGTTGGCTTGTTAGTGGCCGAAGTCCAGAAGCTATCATTGTCATAGCAGCCTACTTTGCTTGGTTGTCATATCAGAAGTCAGATGTTGGTTGTGTCAGTTTGTCGTCATTTTGCAAAGCAAACAATCTCCGTCTTCCAAAAAGTAATGGCATCCTGAAAAGAATGAAGGATATTTTGCTTGCAATGGCAGAACGTATTCCATGGATTAAAAGCATAAAGCCAACACAACTGCTCTACTATATTGAAGATATCGTTAAGTACAAAGCTAGTCTCATGAGAAAAGCCTTTGCTGTTGAAGAAAATGGGGAGTCAGCTGATTTGGGACATGATAGAACAGAACTATGTTTAAAACCACCCTTAAGTAGAAAGAGGAAGGTTGAGGACAGCGACCCGGGTGTAAAAAGTAATGATGAAATTGATGCAGAGATATCCGCCAAATATGGACATGTGATCAACTCTACTGAAATTGATCCTAATGAATTTGCAGATGAAATGGACATGTACATCAAGACAGTGAAGGAAAAAGAAGATGTTAAACTGATTCGTCAAATTGGTGGCACTGGTTCATGAGTGCATGCTTAAACTGATCAGTTGGACAGTTCATGTGAGATTCAAGCAGTGTGGTAGGATGATAAGCTCCATAAAAATCAATAAGCTAGGACAGAACATGTTGTTATTTTTATGTTATAAGAGTATTGAAAGACACATTAACTATTTCGCTCATACCCTTGTTGGGTTAAAATTCTGTAATTTGCACAGTGGATTATGTCATGTAATGTTAGAAGGAAAGGATGGACACATCTGATTGTAAGAGGGGCAGGAAATGGTAGTTCGTGCCAATATTTCAATCTGCTGTCCTCTAAGAGAATTTCTGCAAATATTTTTTGTGCACCATATTAAATGATCTTAATCAATCGTAAAAGTGTCCTTGATTAGAACTCAGTTTCCAACTGCATTTTACTAATTCATTAAGAAATTCCGCTTACTCTTTACATGGCTTAGAGGATAGCACATATGTTATACTTAAAGGGTTCACATCTTTCATTTCTAAGGACATAAACTTATTGACATCCAAACTTTTCCGAGCATTATGCCATTGTATCAAAATTTGTTACTGATAAACAACATGATAGACGAATGTCTTATCAAAACTTAAGAAGGAATCATGGAAATCTTCCTAAGTCATTTTGGCGCTAACAAAGCAAGTGAATGAGAATGTCAAGTCTGTCTGATATGGAGTATGTAAAAGGAGAATGTCCGATCAAAAGTTGATAATATTTAATTTTAAAATCATGAAAATGTTCCTAAGTCATTTGCCACAAGCAAAATTACTAGATGAGAATGGCTGGTCTGTGAGGCATGGAGTACCAGTATGTTGTAATGCATCTACATGGTGGCAATAGATGCATGACTTTCACACTGGACGCTCCGGCCAGTTTAAGCTGATTTGGTGATATAGGTGAAATGCTGTTTATGTTAAAGGTTGTGAAACAAAAATCTCTGACTAGTTAACCATAAATGATGTGTTGAAACAAGATCAAATGTAATCATGTCAAAAAGTTGAAATAAAGAAATGATGCATGAATAACTGTGTTATAGGTTACCTGGATCTCATGCTGTATCTGTGATTATGATGTAATTCCAACAAAGTGCCAATCCGTATCAGTGATGTGCAAGACCTGTTGAATGAAATAAGTTGTGTGTACGACCATGATGACAGCAGTGATTTATTGAGTGCAAAACAGGTCTTTTTACATTTTATATTATAGATTTCAAGATTTTGTAAGTTACATTGCTTTTGTTGAACATGTTGAAGAATAAATGGTTCTGTAAAACAAGTTCTTCTTTTGTGCTTGAGAAATGATCAAAATCATATGTGCAAGATATTCCATTGGACGATGGTAATTCTACAGGTAGAAATCGACTCTGGAACGAAATAATGCCTCACTCCTCAATTTTTATAAACATGTCATCCCATGAAAATCCGGTTTAGAATTTATCTTCAGTAACCCATGTGTGTCTTAAGGGGCAACTAATGGGATCTGGTGGTCAGGCTCGCTGACTTGGTTGACATCAAATCTCAACTGTGTAGATAGATGCTCATGCTGTTGATCACTGGATTGTGTGGTCCAGACTTGATTATTTACAGACCATCGCCATATAGTTCATATGAATAAACTCGTATTCCAGCCAAGGTCTACATCGAGCACACCTTCGTATAGTGCAAAGTCGTCTAGTTATATGCTGGACTAATCGCCATACAGCTGGAATATTGCTGAGTGTGGCATTAGACCGTCCACAGCTCACTTTCCTCCCTCTGTTCACAGACATATTACACCCAGCTCTCAGCCACTTCAAAATCAGGTTCAAGGGTTTAGCATAGCAAAGTCAGTATTCACATGAGGACATTACCAAACATTTGTGATAGTTTGGGGATAATTGGCAGCCACATCAAAATTACACCAAACAGAAATGCTATGCATTGATTTTATCTGTTTAGTCAATTCCAGTAACAAAACACATGTGAACAAACAAAAAGAACTGGATCTTTGTATCTCTACTTCGAAGCATTATACAGTAGTTCCCAAGGAACATTTTATATGCTTCATTTGAAACAATAAAAAGCCTGAAGTATTGAGTGAAACTGGATACACCTTTGAGGGTTTATAATTTATTTTCTGTATACATGCTTCAATGATTTCGATTTTGATTAAAAGGACATGATAGAAATATTGTGGTAGTACCCGATTTGTTGTGTGTGTTTTTCCGTGTTTTAAATGACCAGGGGCGATAACTGTGATATCACTTCCGGGTTTGAAAACGTGCTTCGTGATTACCATACACCACAGAATAATTAGGACCAGGACAGGCAGTAGGCAATATGTCTTACAATTTATCAGACCTGGTGAGTATTTGATTTTCCTAAGAAAACCGTTCAAAAGAAAAATGACACCAGTCACCTGACAATACTGGTGGTGAATGTGACTAGTGAAGCGACGACTAGATTCAGAAAGTGGTCGTATTAGCTGTCACGATAGTTTCACTTAACGACTGAAAAAGATCTGATAGCAGACTGAATGGGTCTCATCAAGTTGTTTGTCATTCCGAGGAGTGTCTGACACTTTATGACACAGGTTCCAGTTCCTGCATATAATTCTGAATATATTCAGAGGATGTTAAAGGAGTTGCGTCCCTTGTGCACACCAGAAACGTGTGATCGTGGGTTCGAATCCTGGTTTGTTCTAAATATGTTTATAGCTTCGTGGGTCACAGCAAAGTCCATAAACACCTGCATCACTTGTGACTTTATCGCCCCTATATAGCGGGAATATTGCTGAGTGCAGCGTTAAACAACAAACCATGTTTGCAACTTGTGACTTTACTCCCACATATCGTCGCCATATAGCTGACATGCTGATGTATGACATGAATACTGTTCAGAGTGGGGTTAAACACAACTACTCATGCATAGACTACAATGATGTTGACATGCCTTTTCCTGACCGACACGGCTGAACTTATCATTGTAAATGCAATTGCTTATTTGTGTAAATGAAAATGAAAGGGTGACAGCTGTACAGTTACACACTTTATTCTTGTTTATCCAGGGCATTGGAGGAATGCAGTCGGCTGCCTCAGCTCTGAAATCAAAGGCTGAGGATTATGTCAACCAGGTAACATGACTGAATGAATCTTTTCCCAGTTTTAAGACTTCTTTGGAGGGAACAAAATTTATACATGATAAATGTAGACACTTGCAGTTCGACCAATAAATCATTGATTTATGCTGAAAAATATTCATATCATTTTGAGACAAGAGTAAGGAATTGGTTTCAAGAGATTGACCTGGCTCTCTGTATTGAATTAGTGGTAGTTAGATTTCAAACTACCGTAATATCAACAATACTTGACCATGTTGTGAACAGAATCTGCCTTTGGAAAAGGAATGCTTGACATTAAGTAATTAAACCAGTTCTCATATAGTGTACCATATTCACAGGACTAAATTGCCTTCATTCTCACCCAAAATATATCATGATTGTTTCAATCATGAAAGAACAGAATATTTTGATGAGCATCTATTTTCATCATCATGTCATTTGTCATCTGGATAATACAATAGAGTAACACTGAATAGTCAAGGATGTAAGAAATCATGTTCAATCTTTCACACTGAAATATAGAAATTATGTGAAAATAGTTGTGAGTCCGGAGAGTCGTACACTTGGTAGTACGATGTATGTTTTTGTGTAAGAATTTTGAGTGTTCAAGGAATCAGGACAAACATGACAAATATATGTCAGATTGTGCACTGAGTACTTAAGACATAAATCATTATGATTGATATGATGAGTAGGGGTGTAACCAAGGTAATGATTCAATATTTGGCACATCGCAATAGATGTGGCACAACAGGTGACAATACGACTACCTTTGTCATTGTTAAAAATGCTATTTTATTATAATTGTGTGAGAGATCCCAAGTTATTTTTGTAAGAGGTTCACTGAATGTATTTGATTTCTCATGCCTCCAATCATGCATCATCCATCAGCCATATTACAGATTAAACAAAAGGTGTTACAGTTCTATAATAGACATGAGTCAGGTGACACCAAGAACTAAGTGTGTGGAAGTTCCATAACCATGGTAACTGTAATGATGTGTTTCAGCCAGATGTGGAGTTGCAGTGGGCAGTGAAGGCCTATGCTCATGCCGAAACCTACTTCAATGTAAGTGTCACATCTTCAAGTGAGTGAGTGAGTTAGGTTTAATGTCACTTACAGTGACTTAGGACAGTGACCCTGTCACGACTGTGTCTGGATGTGGAAGGAAAGTCACATTGACTGAAACCCATGAGTACAGATATGGTGCAGACAAACCTAGAGACACTGTCGATCAGGGCAAACCAGTTTTGGAACCAACATTCATAGGTTTCTAGATTGACTGGGGGAAACCACTCTGCTTCTTGCAGCATCTGTTTTCTAGTCACAACTAAATATGTGGGACAGTGGGGTAGCCCAGTGGTTAACCTGTTCGCTCGTCACGCCGAAGGCCCAGGTTCGATTCCCTACATGGGTACAATGTGTTAAGCCCATTTCTGGTGACCCGTGTTGTGATAGTGCTGGAATATTGCTGCAAGCAGTGTAAAACACAACTCACTCACTCTAAATTTGTTGGTACTGCCACTTGGTCCTTCTGGAACCGGAATCTGTGTGACCAAGGTTACATTCTTGCTGGTGATTCTTGGTTAGAATTGGTCCCTCAGGCCATGTTAATTGTTGTTGTTTTTGTGGGTTTTTTTATGTTTTTATTTTCAAGAGATACATGTTACATACAACAGGCAATCCATATCGAAAACATGCACACATACAAGCATACCAGCTCTTTAGTCACAGTGGTCATGTAAGTGAACAGTACTCCTTATCTAATCATTAGTAATTCATCATTATTTCCAAGAGATACATATTATATGTAACAGACAATCTGTATTGAATACATACACAGCTACAAGCTGTTAATTGGTTGATGGTATCCTGATGGTGTGTGTCATTGCGCCCAATATCAAACATGTTTCGTGTGGACCAGGCTCACTTATTTACACATCATGCATGGAATACTGCTGAGTGAAGTGTTTTACATTAAACACACCAAGGTCATACACTTCAAAGAATGACAATTGAGTCAAGTGAAACACTGTTCAGAGAAGAAGGGAAAACAGTTTTTACTAGGTGCATACTAAAGAATGTTTGGTGATAAGATGTTTAGTTTGTGCTTGAATTATGTACATGATGTACAAGTTATGTACATTTATGTTGTTTTATTTTCTAATCTGTAGGAATAGGGCAGTTGAGAAAGTTAAAGATTATTCACAGGATGTTTATTATATTTTCTGATCGTGACTTCTACTACCTGCGTCACTGCAGTCTAATCCCAAATATATAAAAGTGCCCTAGGAGCAGTTTTAACCATCTACAATGAAACTAAGGAATAATCAAGAATAGTGGGAATAAAATTAACATCATGGTTTTCAACTCCAGCACATGCATGAAGAAATAATAGTTTCATGGATAAAAATGGTTTAGGTTTTCTGTAAGTTTTTAACTGTTTCCCCTGTCTAACATCATGCTTTGTTGTTTAACAATGTGTATGTTTGCAGCTGATTACCTCTGTGGATCCGTCGATCCTGAAGCTCACACGAGAAGATGATGAAATATACTCAAAATTCAGACAAGAATTTCCCGATTTTAAGGTGGATGTTTTGACTGAAGATGAACTGAAGTCAGAAAAGGCAAAAGAGGTAAACTGGTTATTTGACATCATCAGTTGATCATGTTTGTAACGCAGGAAAATACTACAAAACAAGTCTAGTCTTACCCAAATGCTACAATGGTTAAGGAAGCTATAGATGTATGCTGTGTGGATCTGACATGGTCATGTTTCCAGGTGTGTCAACACCATAAGCAAGCTCATGAGTTTAGAAGTAAGATGATCGTAACACATCCTTGACGTATGCAAAGATTGCTTTATGGAACGGGACCCTGGGTTCTGTTGCTTGTTGGATGAGGTGACCAAACTTGGATACGGTGGTCACTTGGTTCATTGGGGGATGCTCTAGGAGCGGTACCTATAACAACCACAAGCTTGTCTGGTGCAGCCTTGAATATTTACAGGCAGATGTATTCCTGTTGTAGTATTGATAACTGAAGCATCAAACAGCAAACAAGCAAAACATAGTTGTCAATACACACTGAATATATCAGTGTCCAATACACTAACTCTGATGTAAACTCAACAGCAAACTGTACGCTCACTGAGATCCATGCAAACTAGGCTTGTCCTAAGAGGTGACTACATGGATCAGGTCATCAGGCTAAACTTATTACACTTATTTATAAACTGCCATCATATTGCTGATTGCAAAATTAAACAACCAACCGGAAATCATGCATGCCAGATCCAGGTTGTATTCCCATCATTGGTTTGATGTATAAAATCTATTCTGTCTCCCGAATGGTTCTGTAAACAGTATTAGACCTCACTCACACTAAAACACTGATGAGATATGTATCAATATCCAGAAATGGCGTCCATTCTGTGAGTCCTTCAAAGGCCAGACCGAAGACTACAACTACGGCACCCTTGTGCGCCTCGACAGTGCAAAGGATTACTCAGAGGAAAACTCAATCTTGGGTATGTAACCATGGTAAATAGTTGTCTGCATCCAAGGAACAATCAGTGAAATGATACACAGATGACATTAAGATTTATGTACACATAGCAAATATTTGCATCTGTCACACAAAAGACTTCTGATGGGGCATTATTTGGAGCACACTTTGCTTTGTTGTGTTAATGTGCTATAGGGGCGGTGGGGTAGCCTAGTGGCTACATTGTGTGAAGCCCATTTCTCGTGTCCCCAACCATGATATTGATGGAATATTGTTAAGGGCGGGGTAAAACTCAACTCCACTCCACCCCACCTCACTCACTCTGGCGAGGACATTAGACAGGATTGCCTTGTTTGTACCCTTGTTTAGATTACGTGCTATTTAGGACAGGAATCTTTCATTAGCTGGTCATCAAATAATGATCATATTATTGTATTTTAGTATGATGTTGATAGGCTGGCAGTGAACATTTTTAAATGACAGTTATGGAAGATCTTGCTGGTGTTCTTAAACCGTATAAAGGGTGAAATTTGATGTGTGCTTGAACCAAATTCTGTTTAATGCATGGTTGCGAAAGTGCGGCAGAAAGTTGGCATCAATTTGTTGCATAGTAAGACAACAGCTTTTTGTTTAATCTCAAAATTATTGCCTGTATTTTGGTTCCAGGTTTACGGATACAGTTCCTTGCTATTGAAATCGCTCGTGATCGAGAGGGACACAACTCACAGTTGCGTTTCACATACAACAAGAAGAAAGCAGAGAAGAAGGAAGAGTCATAGCAGCGGCCATGTTGGATTCAGACACAATTTGTATCATCTACTTGTGGCCATTGAACTGTGAATAACACTGGCTAGTGGTCAGCCTGTTAGCCATGCACAAAAGAATATTTTTTTCTATCAAACTCCTTCCGACATTGAGAAGGTGTATGTATATACATTATGCTAGCCATTCACACAACACAGGCTGTGATTCAGTGTTTTGAAGGAGCTGCTTGTGTAGCATCCTATGGCCAGAAGTATCAGTTTCCCGCTGTCTAAGCTATTCATTGTTTCAAAGCACATAAACATGCAGCTGTACAATTATCATTTTGTAACTGTTGTAGAACAGAAGTTCCAAAGTGATGTTTGAGACATCCTCTTTCTCCGCACCCCCGCACCTCAACCCATACCTCAACCCATACCCAATGTTCAGCCCATCCAAATATAAGGTTGTTGTTTCAGGGGGTTTTTTTGTGTTCGGGTTTTTATTTTCTTCTTTTTCTCATTAGAAACAATAATTTGCAGTTTCTCATTAGAAATCGGCTTTCAAATGATGATAGTGAATAATTGAACTGTATTAAAGTGCATCATGTTTGGCACAAAATGCAGACAGATATTGGTAATGAAAGCTATAGTATGGTGGAACTTGTGGACTTTGTGAAAGGTTTATGGTTGGGAGGCGGGGGGAGGGGTTTTGCTGGTATGAAGGAGAGGGGAGGAACACGTTACTGGGTGGTCGTCCTCTGTTACTGATTGTGGATGATCGTAATGGTGGGTATCTGTCCTGAAGAGCAGGTAGTTCATCTCATTCAGCCTAGAAATTCGATTATGTTTTTATGCTGGTGTCAACCTTATGTCACTAGTTCTCAGAGTTTGTAACTTGCCCAGCTTGTATAAGACAAAATGTTTACCATTTTTTGTCAGGTTTGCACAGATCCAATTTGTAGCAAAATTGAAGTCTTCACATACGACAAGTCATTTAGGGTTACCTTCACTTATTAATTATAATTCAGTTGTGTCATGGGGGTGGACTGGGAAGGATGTCTCTGTATGCAGATTGTGACACCAGGAAGTGAGACACGATCCCTCAACCTTTGTTTACCAGATTAATGCTACAACCGACAGGCTATGAAGATATTAAACTGTGATGGTGCAGGGCACATCGGCTTTGACCACTTCCCATAATAAATATTGAATATGAACTATTGGTGATTTGTTTATGTTTTTGTCAGAGATTTTGAACTGAAAATGCTGAGAGGTTTATAGCCTCAATATTTTGATATAATTTCTTTGATGCTTAATGCTGCCCTCAGTAATATTGGTCTTCTATAATGGTGGCCTGTAGTTCACTGAAAGGCACCCAGTCAAACTGATGATTGAGGTACTGTTAGGAGATAAACATCATTTGTTGGCCAATTTCCGGGTGTTATTGAGTATTTGAAGCACGGAAATTCATTTGGAACCGACGGCGTCGGACGTCTGTGATGTGGACAAGGCGCCAGAGCTTGGATCAGAAGATCCGTGGCATGAATCCCACGACCTGACAGGGAAATGCTATGGCAGCTATATCTTCACACAACATAGTTGTGCTGATCTTGTTTGTATTAAATGTGAGAAAAATAAGCGTCATTACCTACCTACCTACCTACCTACCTACCTTCCCCATTATGCGACTAGGGACATGACTTCTGTTGATGGGGTTGGATATAACAGATGACATCTTTACCATGGCAGCTAGCTAACGGGATCTAACAGTGAATCAAGTCTATCCAAATCCCTTCAAAGGACTCTTTTAAAGCGGCAACATTAATGAATGAGTTAATTTGGTTTTACGCCGCCCTTAGCAATATCATTTAGGTTCATTATGCCTCAGTCAGCAATATTTCAACCATATCACAGACATTAATGGTAGAGGTATCTAGCTACTTGTCACATTGTGAGTTCAGTTTTACACCTCTTTTTTTGCAATATTCCAGCAATATCACAGCAGGGGACATAAGAAATGGGCTTCACACACTGTGCCCATTTTGGGAATTGAACCCTGGTCTTCAGCGTGACGAGTGAATGCCTTCACCACAAGGCTACCCCACATTAACATTAATGGAAGTTTGGACCTGCAGAGGATACACAATCAGGAGAGACTCAGAGTCTGCGCACCGTATCCTCTTTCTCGTCGGTTCTTGCAGATGTACTGGGGGACCTATTCTGACCTGGGATTTTTGTTCGATCTGTCTGTGTACATATAAAAACTGACCCGTCAATATCCGGGTTAGACTTCGTCTTCAGCACCCCATACTTGTAAGACTACCAGGATTGGGTGGTCACGCTCGCCCACTTGGTTCACACAGGTCATCGGATCCCAATTGCGTAGATTGATGCTCATGATGTTGATCACTGGATTGTCCGGTCCAGACTTGACTATTTACAGACTGCCGCCATATAGCTGGAATACTGCTGATCGCTGTGTTTAACAACAACCAACATGCAAAATCAGCAATCCAACTCCTAAACGAAAAGGCAAAGACAATAACAGAATTATACAAAACAAGTTTATTTTGTAATTGACAATAAATAACAGTACACATATCTCACTGTGTACATCAGAACTAAGTGTTGGTTTGTCCATAATATAACACCATACACACTACATCTTAAATCATCTCCTTCCCGGTCAGTCCGCCAGAAATACCCAGCTACTGGACTTGTGGTTGCTGTTTCTAAAGTCAGCCATTACAACTATGATATTGGCCTCGAGAGAAAATAGAAAATGCCACATTTCGGTATGTGAGAAAGTGCAATCAGCCTGAAACATACATTAAAGTCACAGAAAGAAATGGTATAGTGAGATATTGGTATCAGAGTATTCTAATTTTGATGACATAAAGAAGAAACAAGCTAGCTTGTTCTAAAAATCTCCTGATGTATTGAATAACGCAGTATCTGAATAACAGATAACATCCTCATGTGTTAAACATGAAATGTTCCCAATAATGGACAACATCCTGATGTGCCAAACTCGCAATGTTGAACAGTATCAGTTTGCAGACCCTTTGTTGTACAGGTGATATACACAATATGTTGAACAGTACATATTGATATAGAACAATACATATTGATATAGAACTATAGATACTGATATAGAACTATACATACTGATATAGAACTATACATACCACATATTGTATGACTGGTGAATACAACAGTATATGTTGCGGTACTTTCTTGCTAGGGCTATATCAGCTCGTATGACATGGACAGTATCACCTTTCAGTAAAACACAGGTCAAGGTGGACATACCACACACAATATGGAAGAAGTCCCTGTACACATGGTATATACTGACTGGAGTGTACTGTTCAAGTTTTGATAGAGATACTTTTATCTTTCAATGCTATAACTGATTTTCATAATATACCACTCCAAAAAGGTTGAGGAGCACCAAATTCTTTCAGATTACTGTAGTTAATCCTTCACGGAATGACATTCACAACAACACGAACAATAATAAACAACTGGCTGCTCTTTAACTTCTTTTGATTCATATGCATGAAGTATTTAAAAAAAGATGAATGAATTGCCTGATTATCTCCATCAAACTTTGAGCAGTATACATCAGTAACTGTAAATCCCACAGAACAGGTCATCGTAATGGATACAATGCCAGGGTATAAACACATAATTGTCTCCCTTGGATTCTCCTCAATACTTCAGCGTGGGGGATATCATTTATAACCCCATTGTATAACACCTGTACATAAAAGTGACACAGATAAGTGTTTGTTTTACAGTGTTAGAAAAATAGAAATGTGAGGCTTTAGGAATTCCATTTTCACAATCGGGGCTCACTGATGGTACTGACTGAAACATGTTTTTATAGGAATATTAGAAGTTGAAAGACCACAAAGATGTAAAACTTTTAAAGAAACCCATAATCCTTAAAAAAAAAGTTATCCAGAGATTTATCTGGGATTCTGAAGTAAATGCCCTTGGCAAGAAAACTGAAAAAATACTGTTATCTTGTTAAAAAAAGTCCATTGCTATAGAATAGTACAATAAATCAAACATAAATACATTCACATAAATCACAAAAAACACCCTGTGTTGCTATATTCAAATATTAAGTCTTCACATATCTGCGTGAAACCAGTGCCAACATAACTCCCCCTTCATTACCTCCCTTGTCTTGGGAGGGATTTGTAACAGTTGAAATAATTGGTCTTTATGCTTGTTCAAAGACCTGCTGACTGAAATGGCGGTGGACATGTACAGATAACAAGTAATATGATATTTTCCGAATCATCATATCCATTAATAACATTCATACAATGAAACACACAAAACAAACTCTCCAATAGCGACCTGTAAACCATAGACAACACTAGATACTTTGTGTTGTCTATTTAGCTGTTGAATTGTTTGAAAATTTAAAGCATCATCGGCAATATCACTGCTGTTGTAATGTGTAAAGCATGTTACACTTTGTATGAGGATGTAAAGATTCCATTTTAATGATTGTGTAATCATTCACTTTGTATGAAAATGTGGGGAATATATTTTTACTTTGAGTGAGGCTGCAACAATTCAATGTGTATGAGAATGAGAGGCGTAATTGTTTTCTTTGGAACATCGCCACATGCATCTTAAGTGATTGACTGAGTTTGGTTTTACGCCACTTTTAGCAATATTCCAGCAACATCACGGCCGGGGACACCAGAAATGGGCTTCACACAATGTACCCATGTGGGGATTTGAACCCGGGTCTTCGGCATGACGAGCCAACGCTTTAATCACTGGGCTACCCCACAGCCCCGCATCTTAAGTGAGTTGATAAGAATGGTTTTATGCTGCTTTTTGAAACATGATCGCTGGGAAACCGGAAATACAATACAAAAGATGAATTCTGCCAAAATATGCAGGGATTTACAGAATTCCTGTGTCCTATACTCATAACAATTGATAAAGGACGCAACGAAATGTATTAGCACACCCACAGGGACGCAGAAAAGTCCAAATACTTTTGTAAATTATTCCAATCAAGTAACAATAAGTTATCACTGAGTTTGCTACTAGCTGGGTTATGGTATCATTTGCAATATATTTACAATACCAATCAATGTGTTGATCATGATACACAATACAATAACAGTATTAATAATAATATTTAAGTGTCTGGGACCCCCATCTTGTTGTCCTAGACCCCTGAAATTATAAGCATGAGTCCCAGGGACCCCTCAAATACAGGACTCACGGTAAATCCCTGAATATGCCAAAGGGAAGACATGATAAACAATAACTTGTGTACAGATTATCTGAAATGGTATTTTACAATTAAAGGAAACCATTTTGCATGTCTGTTTTAATAGAATTACTTGCATCATTTTGTGTTTACACAGGATCTCATTAGACTATCATGTCGTGGGACAAACAGACATGTTATATTATCACACCATAGTTACATCCTCATACAAGGTGATTCATTAAAACCCTTTTTCTCAGGCAATGTTTACAAGGATATAAAAAATATCCAGAATACCCCCAGAACAACATGTAAATAACACAGAAGAAACCAGAACAACTTCCTGCTGCACTGGGATTGTACATCCACTTTACGAAACTGTAACCATGGTAACAAATCTCCTTCAGAAACAATAACCTGTATTTATCCAAATAAACATTAGGCTGTAGTTTTAAAAAGAAGTGTGAGTGAATTAAGTTAAAAACCTCTTTAATATCAGGAGGTGTGGCTGGGAATACCCATCACATGACCACTGAGTAGAAATAAGGGACACCACTCTGCATGTCATAGATCACCATGAGAGCCCTTTCACATCACAAATGTTGTTATAACACCTGTTTCAAAACACCATCCAGGAAACAACTAAGGTTTGATAAATCAATAGTGTGGTTTCCAATTAAAAACATCAACGTTAGGGCAGTTTTTCAACAGTTTCATAACTTTATAATCATTTTGTGCATTCAGTGTATTTTTTCACATGTGCTTGACTAGACATGGAAACAAAGTACCATTAAAAGGATTTATAATACACTGGTGCCTAAAACTCAGGGTCTAGCTGTCAGGTCAATGACCTATTATGTCCTCATTGTCCCACAATGGGTGCGAAGGCAATAATTGTGACCATATTCTGCATACTAAATTTCAAAAAATTGCTTCTGGAACAAAATTAAATGTAAGGGTGCTTTTAATGCAAAAATGAAAGTATACATGACTTAAGGAACTGCAGTAATGGCTGTCGTAACATTGACGATCCAATTACTGTGTTTCAACTCTTGCATCAGTAAAGAATCTCTAGCAACTAGGTTCAGACTAGCAGGTGAAAAACTGCTCCAAGGTGTAGACAAAATGAATGGGACTTAAGCATTTATCTTGTGTATCAAATTCATTCCATATCTACAGAACATCTGTTTTTTAATGTTGAAAAATGCAGAAGGTATATAGACTATTAAGAAATACACAATGTACGTATACTAGCCTCAAAGACCCAGCCATATCAGCAAAACTTGACAAGGGGAAATCATTCTAGTTCTGTTTTAGATTATTTTTCATTGTCTAAGGAACAGTTTCTGCCTGTCTCGTCAGTATGTTTGCACCACAAAGCAGCTGTTGGCCAAGAACAGCTGTGCTGGCTAGAAGCCATATACACATACTGGCTTCTTTAGACACAGCCCATTGACTTGAATAAGCGTTCATGCATCTCTCCGAGTGACAAAACAAATCACAGAAAACATTCATATTTTCAATGATTCCTTAAACCTTCATATTCACTGAGTGAACAACTCCCAGCAGAACAAAGAAATCTTTTGCACTACTTTCACTCATTTTAAACACGAAGAAGATTGCCCTACAATAGCAAGCATTTATTCCTCAAACATAAAAACACAGCACCATTCATAAAAGACAACTAATGCATGTTATTTCCATATCTGCAGTAAAACCTGACCTTTTGAACATCAGTCAGAGGTAAGATACAAGGTGCAACAACAGGTGCTTGGTGGATGTGTTCAAGGGAGCTAACTCTAACCCAGCTATCAGCTACTTCAGTGTCCATGAAATGGTTCAGAACCTGGAATTCTACAATTCTATCAGCCCAGTTGGCTACCTACATGTGGAAACACTAGGGAAGAATTCAGGATCACTTGTGCTGTCAGAGGAAAAAAGTACATCTTACTGGAAGCTCTTGTTCAATCAACCCATATATTCGTATTTGGAAAAAAAACATAAAAGTGTTCTAAAGATGGGCATTACTTTTATTGATATTCAAATTCTCTCCATTGACCTTCATAGACCCCAATTAATTCCGATTTTATTTATGATACCCTAGGTGTACTGTTGGTATGGTAATATGTAAATCAGTGCGCTCAGCAACTCAGATGCAGATCCTTGCTTTTCCTAGTCGATTACCACCGACCACATCACAATGTGATCAAACATGTGCCTTATACCACCTTCATTTGCAAGACATATTAATGAATGTAATTATCTTGTTATTTCAGTAAAACTATTTCCAGATGAGAAGGCTCTTTTATTACCATGGAGTCTGAAAATAGTGTATAGTAATAAACCACCTCACATATTGTTTCAATGCAAGATATTAAATTACACTCAACAGCATCTTCAAATAATGGCTCAGAATCTTGGTCACCTTGACAATGAAATATAATATATTGATCTTTTAATACCTGCAGACCATGTTGACACAACACATGATAAAAGATTTGAACATGCTTTTTTTGTCCTCTCTATTTTTTCAGATAATAAGCACAAACACCTCCATACTAAACTAACTACTTCACACTCTCAACATTTACCTGAACTCATTTCCCTTTGGTTTCAGTAGGATGAAAATGTACAATTGCACAAACTGATGATGATGTAAGCACAGATGAATCCCGCTGCTGCTAGACATGTCACTGGCATGAAGACACAGACTGTTACAGTGAGCAGGTAATACATGTTCCAGGGCCTAGAAACAGTTGCACGTCAGAAGTTGATGACCCCAAACAAAGTTGGTACCATTTTGAGCCCATCAATCTGTGCGGCAATGGACAGGCTGTAGGCTTTCATTGTCTTTGTATTCTGCTCCAGCTTGTTTTCATAGTCCTGAAAAACAGAAGAATTCACTTAGTGTCCTTCGAGTGAGTGAGTGAGTGAGTGAGTGAGCGAGTGAGCAGCATCTCCTTCGAGTATCCAACAACTTATCATATGGCCTCAGATCCTCGAATCATCCTCCTCACTATCTTTCGTCAGCGCCTACTATTTCTGCTTTCAAACATACCTGAAATATATCTTTCGAATCTAATTTGCAATCACATTGTATGTGCCATAAGCATATTACTGTATTGGAATTCGGAACCATGCAATCAGACATGAATTATTGTTGTTGTTCTCATTATTATTGTAGTGAGTTGGTCAGTTGTTTGATCAGCGTCCTAGAAGCTGGTGTGTCAAAAATGAAGTCAATATGGTAACACCTTCTTGTTTATAGCATAAGATTTAGCTTAGTGCATACGTCTGAGCTTGATAATGGTGTACAAATCTACACCAAAAGGTTGCTCTAAGCAATACATGTTGTTATCTATCCTTCTCAAGCTTTGTAATAGTAAGCTGCTTTTTATACTGCTTTAATCTAGCAAGACCAAGCATAGGACACAAGAAATACATGTTGTCATCTATCCTTCTCAAGCTTTGTAATAGTAAGCTGCTTTTTATACTGCTTTAATCTAGCAAGACCAAGCATAGGACACAAGAAATACATGTTGTCATCTATCCTTCTCAAGCTTTGTAATAGTAAGCTGCTTTTTATACTGCTTTAATCTAGCAAGACCAAGCATAGGACACAAGAAATACATGTTGTCATCTATCCGTCTCAAGCTTTGTAATAGTAAGCTGCTTTTTATACTGCTTTAATCTAGCAAGACCAAGCATAGGACACAAGAAATACATGTTGTCATCTATCCTTCTCAAGCTTTGTAATAGTAAGCTGCTTTTTATACTGCTTTAATCTAGCAAGACCAAGCATAGGACACAAGAAATACATGTTGTCATCTATCCTTCTCAAGCTTTGTAATAGTAAGCTGCTTTTTATACTGCTTTAATCTAGCAAGACCAAGCATAGGACACAAGAAATACATGTTGTCATCTATCCTTCTCAAGCTTTGTAATAGTAAGCTGCTTTTTATACTGCTTTAATCTAGCAAGACCAAGCATAGGACACAAGAAATGAGTTTCACACATTGTACCCATGTGCGCGAATCACAGCAGGAAATTAGCGGTTACAAGCAAACACTTTAACCACTTGCCTGCCCCACTGCACCCATAGCTCTCAGCAATACATGTTGTTGTCTATCTGTCTCAAGCTGTGTAATACTAAGCTGCTTTTTATACTGCAACCCATGCTTGTTGTAAGAGGCGACTAACGGGATCAGGTGGTCAGACTCGCTGACTAGGTTGAAACATGTCATCATTTCCCAATTGTGTAGATCGATGCTCATGCTGTTGATCACTGGATTGTTTGATCCAGACTCGATTATTTACAGATCGTCGTCATATAGCTGGAATATTGCTGAGTACAACATAAAACTGAACTGAACTCACTCACTCACTAATGTAAAACTCACAAGTATGGGTACAATCTGGGCGAACAAAAATCAAATCCCATGATCATACGCTCCTGGCAAAGGAATGTAATGAGTAGTGAGTATGGTTTATGCCACTTTTAGCAATATTCCAGCAACATCACGGCAGGGGACACCAGAAATGGGCTTCACACATTGTGCCCATGTGGGGATTCGAACCGGGTCTTGGTGACGAGCCAGCGCTTTAACCATTAGGCTACCCCCACCGCTCCTGGCAAAGGAATGTAATTACTCAAGTAAACTGTTAGTGATGCGAGTTGCTGTGTCACCCACCTTGAGTGTCTGGATCTCCTTGCACATGTTCACATGGCCTTCTTGAGATGTCTTCAGGGCCCGGCGCAGTGTCTTGATCTCTTGTTCCCGTTCTAAACAAACACACACATTATGGATAGATGGATACACATATAAATACAAGACAATTCACATGTCTTTCAGTTGTTACCACTGCTAGTCCAAGATGAGTTGTCATGTGACTTCTGACCTACTTCATACTGACCAATCAAGTAGGTTTATTCTGCCTCAGTCAGCAACATTCCAACCATATCACAGATATTAATGGTAGAGGCATCTATCTCCTTGTCACATATGGAGAGTGAGTGAGTTCAGTTTTACGCTGCTTTCAGCAATATTCCAGCAACATCACACCAGGGGACACAAGAAATGGGCTTCACACATTGTACCCATGTGGGGAACCAACCCGGGTCTTCAGCGTGATGACCGAACGCTTTAACCACAAGGCTACCCCAACTCCCCTATACATATGAAGAGATATGTGTTTCTCTGACCACTAGTCACTGATGAAGAGGCATTTGTCACCGTTGAAGAGACACAACCTGTAACCCACATGTGACATGTTACTCACCAACATTTCTCTGTTCAAATTCCTGAATAAAACTTCCGATGTCAACTGGCATCGACAGCCTTGGTCCCTCAACCAGGTCCATGTCAGAGGTCAGGCTCTCTGTGTTGAGGTCAGAGGTCAGCAGTGAGGTCGAGGTCAAATTCTGCTGTTGCTGGCGTTCCATCTCCTTCTCAAGCTCACCTGTGACGGGGGCATGTCAACAAGTGTCATTGTGGTGACATTTACATAACATTTTTTCCACTGTATTCAGAAAATGTTCCCATTTTATACAAATACAAAACACATTTCCCCCTACAAAGAGAAACATTTTAAGAAAGCAAGAGACATATTTGAAACCTATGACTATGTAACTTTGTATTTCTAAGACCTTGATTAGTTCCTCTGCCTAAATGACTACTACCATACCAAATACTGAGTTACAAGGAAATTATTCGTTGTTAATTGTCTCAGAAGAATATCAGCAGTAGAATTTCTTTGTTTAAAAATATTCAACCGAACATGAGTATCTATCGGAAGACATCATGATTTCTTTACTGTGCTATGTATATTTGCATACTAAAAAATAATATGTTTATCTGATGAAACATGGTTGCAGTCGAGTTTGAGCTGAGGTCTAAGATATGTTATAAATGGGTTTCCAAACATTGCTGCCATGCTCACCATGTTTAACATTTGATCAAAATCCTGGGATCAAATTTTAGAGACACCACAGCAAAGAAAATTTATACAAATCATTTGCTTCATAGGCCTTGTAGATTCAGAGATGTTGTAAATGCAGAAACCCTAATAAAAATGGGCAGGTGAATTTCAAAGGTCGTAGCTGGACAAAAAACCAAAATGTGTCCAAAATCCTATTATATCACAAGTTACTCTGGAAACATATACTTGCTGAATGTCTAAGAAATTTACAGTAGGATGGAATACAGAGAGGAATGTTTCAGCTCAATAGGCCTTGTAGTTGCAGAAGATATGTCCTAAAATATAAAAGTCCACAAGAGATGGACCGACAGTTTGACTATAGGCAAGGAGCTATGACATATCAGGTCACTTTATGTTCAGTCAGACGACCTAAAGGAAACCCTGGCCTGACCTGTGATTGCCTGTAAGTGTTGTCTGCCAAACATGTGCTCCTTCTTGTTGTGTACGGAGCTGAAATACTGGTTACACACTCGGCAGTACAGCTCGCTGATGGAGTCCTCCTGAAGACATACACAATATTCATATGTTTGTTTTTGTTTGTTGCTTAACGCCGCACTCAGCAATATTCAAGCTATATGGTGGCAGATCATTTTTATGGATTAAACTTCTTTTTAATTTCTCTCCACGACGTTTGAGACCATTCGGGTCCCTTCATCAGGTGAACATGTACAACTTCTAAATGCCACTGAAAGACATTATATGGTGGCAGTCTGTAATAGTGTTCCCCTAGGATTCAGAAAGGGCAGGGTAACTTAAGAAAAAAGGGCACTTCATAATCTAAAAGGGCATTTTGGTGAGGATTATTGAAAAAATAACAATAACAAAATGTATATGAAGTCAAATGCTCTTATAATTTTATTTCTAAAGTTCATTTATTACTCTTCTCATTTTGCATTTTAAGATCAAAATTTGGAAGAAAAAAAGCATTTCAAGGCATTAATCTGTTATCACATTTGTTTACAATTTCACTTTTGAGAACACTCTCTCAACTTCAGAAGTTGACAATCACAGTTGCATGAATGGACAGTAATTGAACAATGTTTGGATTCAAGTTTCCAAGTTGAGGCTTGAGTCTTCAAAATGGTGGAGGGTGAACTGGTGTCAAGCTCCTTTACTTGACTCCACTCAATCTGTGTTTGGTCGACATTAAGTCCATTTCTGCCCTTGGTGTTCCACTTAGAACATAATGAACAAAACATCATTCCCTTCTTTTTGTCATCTTCTGAGTACCTCACGGGGGCCGGTTTGTTGCCACTTTGTGTCAAATGCAGTCTTGTGACCACCATCTTTCTTCTTTGTTGGATTAACTGACTCTGTCTCGTGTGCCCTTGAGTTTTCATAGGAAACTACCTCTGCCTCGTCTAAGTCCGGTCTGAAAAAAATATATATACAAAGTTAATATACCATATTCAAAATATTCTTAGATATTAAATTTGCAATCATAATTATTAAAACAAAAATATCACACAATAATACACCTGAACGTAAGTGTCTACTGTGGAGAGCTTCGACAAGGGTGTGGCTTCCCATTGTTTGAAATCGTAAAATAGTTTTACTCCTTCAAGACTTACTTTTTTATGAAATCGACACTAAAAACAAGGCTACCATGTTAAGCTGTTATGCAAGCTGTATTAACTATTTCATTTCCCAGGACAAGCAACAAAATAATTCAAGATCAATTTCAAATTGCCGATGGATTAAAAATGGCGGACATTTTCGAGTTTCAGATTTTCACCTAAACAGCACAGTTACATGAATATCGGTCCCCAAACGTACCAAAATACATCCCATGTAGTTCACACATCGTTGTCTTTAATAACGGAGGTTTTATTTGAAAGGCATGTGAAATGGAAATGGAAATCAAGGGCTTAAAAATCACGAACTTAGAGGCACATACCTGCTAGGAGCGAAGAAATCTATTAGTCGTCGACACTTCCTTGCTTCAACCTTCACCACTTCTTCTCTTTTCCTTTTGATTCTTTCCTTGGTAGGCATTGAGATTTGTAAAGCGAATTAAACACCTTTGACTTTGCCATGGTTTAAATGCCAATTTCCTAATCATTATCAAAACAATTTTGCGTCCCCCCCCTAGAAAGGGAGAGAACTCCGTCCTTAATGAAATCCGGAAAATACACAGGGGTTGTTGTAAAATCAAGCACAGCTGAAAAAAAACTGGGATTGAGGCAAAAGGGCAGGGCGAAAACAAAAGGGCAGAGCAAAAATCAAAGGGCAGGGCGCGGCGCCCTCCTAAATGTGCCTAGGGGAGCAGTCTGTAAATAGACCAGACAATCCAGTGATCAACAACATGAGCATTGATCTACTCACCTGGGACACAATGGCGTGACAACCAAGTCAGCGACCATCAGATCCCATTAGTCACCTCTGTGTAGGCATATAATAATCTAAAACAACAATGTCATTTTGTCACACAGTCATCAGACCCATGAAGATCCGGGGTAGAATAGGTCTTCAGCAACCCATGCTTGCCGTACAAGGCGACTATGCTTGTCGTAAGAGGCGACTAACGGGATCGGGTGGTCAGGCTCGCTGACTTGGTTGACACATGTCATCGGTTCCCAATTGCGCAGATCAATGCTCATGCTGTTGATCACTGGATTGTCTGGTCCAGACTTGATTATTTACAGACCGCCGCCATATAGCTGGAATATAGCTGAGTGCGGCGTAAAACTAAACTCACTCACTCACACAGTCATCCATCTTTGTAATGCCAGTAAACATTTACTGCTTTTCTTGTCCTTTGAGTTGAATATAATTACGCACGTTACATTATTATTATATGGATATTTATATAGCGCTATAGTCCATCCCATCTACATGCATGCTCTAAGCGCTTTGTTTTTTCCCTCGATAATCTCAACGGCACATCATATTTTCAATCTAAACTCCCTGGGGATCATACAACTTCGTGCAGCAACTAGGTCCACCAAGTTAATGTGGCTTTCCCATCCTTGCAATGTACCCATTCACAGCTTGGTGGGCTTGGACACATAGTAACAGTACTTTGTCCAAGTTTTACTGCATGGTGCTGTACCCACAACTAGGTGCTTGCACTTATTCATGTGGACACCATATGGTCATATACCAACAGATTCGTGGGCTCTTACAAGTAAGTGCACAGGGTTGTGTACTGTACACTAGGGGTTGTGACAACACTGACAGAGTCTGCACACAAAGTCGACTACAAGGTTTTTACACCCAGTCACAAGTGGGCACCTCCCAAGCTTGCTGGATCACTAGCCTGGCGCCTTAGACAGCTCACCCACCACCCCATGAACATCAAGTACATCGTATATGAACATCTTACAGGTGTCTTCATTCTCAAGCATCAATACCAACACGAGGGCAGCCATGATAGGCTATAACATTATGAACATATCATCTTGATGAAAGTCAAGACAGGGAGCACACCATGATACCTACCTCCACATCAATCAGCGAGGAGTAAGGGTCCCCGGTATCAAGTTGGGAGGAATCTTCCCCTAAAGACACAAGTACTTCAACTGCATTAACATGACTTCTTTGAGTGGCATTTTTAGAAGTTGGAGAGTCAGATAAGGACAAACTTTATGGATGATCAACTTCTTTATTCAGGATTCTGTATTAACATGGTTAGGGGAAAAACTGCAGCCTTAGAAATTATCCCTACTCTGCTTGTTCAGCACTACCAATAATTGGTGGGGACAAACATGTCAGTCCTCAATGACTAGCAACATTTCTATTTCTTTTTGTAACCTGAGCTTCTTTCTTTGATTAATTATAAAAGGCTTATATTAGGTAAGACTAGCCTGAGAGTTGAAAGTGGCAGTACTTAGCTGAGCCAACAGCTTCACTGCTGATTCCCAATCTGGGTGGACAATCAACACATTCTAAAGACTAGTCAATCAATTTTACACTAGTTTTCATCATAAAATTGTATTTGTAAGGCTTACATCATGTACACTGGGCCTCATTTCACAATGAACAATACCAAGTGGCTGACATAATAAAAAATAATGGCACAGAATTAAGTGATCAGGACTGGCTACCCGTTAGTCACCAGGCACAGGTAACTCGGGGCTTACTCTAATCCAGAATCTCAAATGGGTTAGCACTTATGATCATGTGCAGAATCAAACCCAGGCCACCAGCATGACAGACACATTCACCACTGGGCTACCCCACACCACCAATCAAAGAACAATCCCACTAACATGAATAACATCCTCTCTCTAGTCTAATCTAGACAGTTAAAACCATTAACTCCCACAAGAAAACCTACCACAGAGAACCTTGAGCTTCTTCTTCTTGAGGAAGTTCTGGTAGGTCTCTGACTGCTGGAAGACTTTCAGTTGTGTTATGTATCGTTGTTTGTCAGCCTCGGCTTCTGTGAGGTATTTCTAAAGAAACAGATAACTCTTACACAAGGCAACCAAACCTTCTGCTATTAATTTTCCACAGCAATGACGGTAAGGTGTTATCCATGATCATTGTAAAGTTACGTAATTATCATTATGGTTTAATGCTATAACAAGACCAAAATTAAAAAAACTCATTCGATGACATGCTTATTAGTTGACTAACAAAACCATGTTTTCAAGTATTATTGACTGCCTGAAGTGTATGTTTCCAAGGAAACAGAATCGACATTTTTCTAATTAAGTGTGATGACCACTGTCTAACTACCTTGTTGTGAATGCAAGGTAAGGAATGCTATCAAGCGCAAAAGCAGAATTAGCCTAGCAAAACTGTACTGATGTATTCCAATCCCATCTTGGCCATGCACTTATGCTTAAATTGTTCCTCCGGTGCTTTTATCATGTTTATGTGAGTCATTATTTCCAGAGCTGACCCCTACCTGTTTCTTCTCTGGAGACATGGAGGACCACTCCTGTCCCAGTATCTTGGTGACGTCTGAGAACATAATCTCAGGATGGCTCTCCTTGATCTCCTGTCGTCGCTCGATGGCATACAACACATACCTGGAAACACGCGGTCAGGCTCAAACATTTCATTACCACAATTTATTCAAAATTATCATTGTTCTTTGGGCTCCTTCCGTTATTACATCAACATCAATAAGAATTTACAATTACTTTAAACTCTGTCCTTTCAAGTCCAGGCTGACTTGACAATCTGAAAGTTCTGAAACAGGTTACCATGGATACTGAGCATTCAGAGTTTCAGCTATCGCAAACTAATGGCATAATTTGATAATGAAACTATGCATTTATATGCCAAATTTACATTGAAGGCCTGTACCGGTATACTACAAAGATTTTTCTCTCACACTGTTATCTCCCCTGTATCCATGACTACAAAATGGGGGCAACTGACCATGTTACATATTTACTTAAAGGTCACATAAACCCTAGGGGTTAAAAATACATAAATCACTAACTGGCATCGTTATAAATGAAACCCCGTCATTAAAACTACTCATTTCGACCTTTAATTGACTTAAATCGACCTTTTTGACAACAGTGCACAATTCTCACCCGCGAACGAAATTTCAACCAATCAGAGCGGCGCGACTCTGTGACGTCATATGAGGAATAGCTTTGAGGGCCGATGCAGAATTCATCTACATTTTAGGGGGTAAATTATCTTGTTTACAGGCTTGTATAAACCTGAAATCGTGATAATTGTTGTGGAAAATGAAAGTTATATGTTCTCACAATACAACTTGTTTTCATAGACGCTTCTGTCACAATTGATTGGTGTCGTTAGGCCCTATTTGTATAATGACTGATCCAAATTGATCCCATTTCTGTGTTTTTTTACCTCGATATTTAATCATGTCATGTAAAAATCTGTTTGTATTCTCAAAACAGTGTCGGCCCATAAGTTTTCACATGCAATACAGCAATTAATACTCCCTTGTTGTAACCTGTGTTAGGTGGTATAAACCTACACATGTTATTTGTCATCATTCACTTGATGGTCAGTTAATGACTTTATAACAGGTATAATTAGTGGTAAGACACTTAGATTACCCGACAAAGGTTCCCATTTGGCATTTCTTGTGTCTGGAGTAAATATTCAACATTATAAACATCGATCAAAGAAATAACCGATAACACGCTGATTGATTAATTACTTTTATCTTACACAGCGGAATTGTCAAAAGGTAGTGTTTATGTATGTAGATTTACTAATTTATACTGAATACACTCTGCCGTGTCGGTGTCTGCGTAAAAACAACGTCCTTCTTTCAAAGGATTAACCGGCAATACATTGATTGATTGCCCATTATCGGCTAACTAAATTACTGTTTTAATGAAAGGCGGACATTATGCAATTAGTTGCCAGGTGTGCTATCTTGGGTGACCAATGAGACTATACACCAATACCTGAAAAGATTTATCAAGTTTTTATATATTAAACTGTTAAAAGACACATCATTTGGAACAGTTTTGTGGATATTGATGGATACATTCCTCAAACAAGGTAATGGCCTGATATTGTTCCTATAACTTTAATCTGTTTTAATTTTAATATTTGCATTTTGTTTTTATTCATTTGTCGTAGTATTCAACAGAATCATTGTTTTCGCCGTGAAGTGTAATGAGACAGACAACATACACTAGGGTGTGTGTGCGAATTATGATTCACATTGGCAAACTATAAAATGTCTAGATATTACAGTTCTGTTATAAATTCACTATAAGTATCAGCAGATCGTCTGCTTTTATTTAGTTTCAAAATGCATAAAAGTATGATAATAAACTAATTAGGATTATAAGACCAAATATAAAGGCGCACATTGACTAGTATCTACATACTGGTGAGTGGACATTAACCATGTGAATGTAGCAAGAAATTTATCGGCGCAGTATTGTGACTTCGACCCCCACCTGGCTTCCGTGGAAGAAATCGTTATGTTATAAGTTGTGTCATGCAAAATCCTTTTGGTTATGATTCCAATACATATTTAACTTCTGAGTAGAAAGTAGTTTTGATTTTCTAACTTGATGAAAACAAACCATAATCTCATTAATTCTAACAGACTTTCACGATTTTCAAAAATGGCGTACCCTGTCGGAACATCCAGCCAGTCTGTGGATAAATGCTATTTAGGTTTGTTTTCACCCGAGTTAAAAATCAAAACTACTTTCTACTGGTAGTAAAATATGTATTGTATTGATGGCCAATAGGATTTTGCATGACATAGCGTATAACATAACAATTTCTCTCCTGGCAGCGAGGTGGGTGTCAATATAATACTACTTACAATATTATTGTTACTTCGACCACAACCTCACTTCGAGGAAGAAATCGTTATGTTACAAGTTGTGTTATGGACAAATCTATATGGTCATCAATCATATACATATTTTACTATAACTAGTAGGTAGTTTTGATTCTTTAACTTCCGTGAAGCGATCTGAAAACAAGTAAGATATCGTTTCAGGCTTCCTACAACGCTAAACCGCTCACAAACATAACCCATTTAGCTTACGAACTGCGGGGATCCTGTTGAAATCTGTGCATGGTGACACCATCGCCCGACCCTAGGAGCAATTGGCGACAAAGCAGCGATTCGGCATGTAAATTAGTTGATGTTGAGAAATCATCAAAATGATGGCGTGCTACACACTTTCTATACAACTAACTGAAAATGGTTCCTCATATGGCGTCACTGCAGTGCTCTGGCGACAGAGTTCACGTAACCTGTCTGTGGTTTCGTTGGCAGGCGAGAGGGAAGCAGGCGACTTTTTGCGCACTTTTAATCGCGCGGTATTAATTAACCACAAGTTTTTAAAGAATAAATTTGGTGTTCCGCATAAGACTAACCACAAATCTTTCATATGTAATGGTTAAAAGAGTAACAAAAAACAAAGTTTAGTGGTTCTTTAAGTATGTAGAAAAAAGGATCTGCATGTACAGTGTCAACATGGTCAACCACTGTCAAACACCGGCTCCAAATATATCACGCTATGTACCTTTTTACAACACCACTTTTAGCCCACACAGAGACCCTTCAGTTTCCATCTCTTTAGCATGGTCATGATGTTAGTTCACTGTTACAACAAATGTGTGCATGTTTCCAAACTACACCTTGTATACTGTCATATTACAATACCAACCCAGTCATTGGAGCTCTTGGTGCATTTATCTCTGGAACATTCTTACGTTTCTTTCCTTTCGGCCATCCCCCTTTTCTTTTCTGGAAGAAATTAGATTGAAACACATCAGGATTACACTTGTTAATATTATGGTGGAAGACTTACAGAAAAGAGAGAAAAATATAATATACTGCATCAAAGCCATCATTTGTGTCCTTAATGTTGTTGTACATCATGATACATAAAAATCAGATGTTTAAGTTTGTCAGCATGGCCAGAAAGAAACTCTTCGTTGTTCCGGAAATACAGAAATAGAATTTAATAACCGGTAATCTTTCAAACTGAAAGTTATATCCATGGTCTACAATATCAAAACGTATTACAAACTCTTGCATTTATCAAATAATGTTGAATACAATCAAACCTTGGTTTCTTCTTGCGTAGTGGTGACAGTGGTTGTTACCGTGGTGATGGGATGTTCCGTCTTGATGGCGACGTCCAGAGAGCCACCGACATCACCGGTGCAGTCAGGTGGGGAGTCAAACATGGGGGCGGTCGACGCCCCCACCAACCCATCCTGTTGCACTGGGGTGAACTGGGTAACTGGACAACACCGTACACAATAATTAAGACAGGTGCAGGTATTATGCATACATATAACTCTACTACAGTTATCAATCTACAAGTGTTACATGCATATATACTGTTTTGTAACCTCGACAAGTATCGACGTGACATGTGATACCCTGGTGCAGCTAAAACACACATGTAAAACAAGTAACCTTAAAAGCATTTTAATAAAGAATTATTTATAGAAAAGTCAAAATCATTGGCATATATATACCCAGACAAAAAGAACCATGAGAGTAAAAACAATATACTGACAAAAAAAAAAAAACCTGTGGTACCCAATATGTCAGATGTGAAGTTTAACATGTTTAAAAAAATCAATGGATCCAAAATTTATCTGGAGTTCCATTGATGCTAAATGATTCAAGCATATTTGATGTGTGTACAGTGTGTATCACTAAGTCTAGCCTAGTGATGTTGACTGAGAGCACTTACTGGTCCCTGGCAGGGGTAGCAGATGTCGGCCATGCTGATCTGTCGTTGTGGAGATGTTACCCAGGGACACATTGCCATCACCCACTGACAACATCAACCTGTCCAAACAAACATTTCAGGAGAACATAAACTTGTCGTCACTTGATCCGGAACAATCAGTACCCTAGAACGGTGTTTAGTTTCTTTGTTTGCTCAATACTGCAATGAGCAATATTCCAGCCATATGACTGTGGCAGATATAAAACTAGTCAAGCCAGTGGTGGATATTGTGAACATCAATCATCAGGATCCAACAAGTGATCAAACATCATCTACAATCCATTTGGTCACTCTGAAAACCAACACATGTTGCTGGGCTTCAAATGATTATTCATCTCTTTAGCCAGCCCTAGCCCTGTCATTACACCTTGCCACAAGTTAATTTGCATATCATGAGACCAGATTTTTCTCTCTCCTGTTTATAAACAAACATGCTTATTTCAAAGTCAGAGCAGTCTAGCCTAGTGGAAGCCTTTTGTTGCTATTTGCATATATTCTTCACTATTATTGAGTATTAAGATATCCTACAACACTTGTGACAGAGAAGAGAAAGACAATATATATACAGTACAACCAGAAATTATTGAGAATTTAAGATTGTAATTTTATATATTTTTTTCACTCATTACTCATGTATTAAATGTGAATATTAGCAGAACATAACTCCAGATTCAAAGACAGGTGAACAGTTAGTATTTTGTCAAGTCACCATGGGCAGCAATGCAGGCTTCAATGCGGCGGGGCATGCTACTGATCAAAGAAGTTAGAAAGTCGTGGTCCATGCTGTCCCAATATCGGACCACCTCTTCTTTCATTTCAGCAATATTTGTCAGATTTTTCTTATTGACACTTTCCTTCATAAGTCCCCAAACATTTTCTATTGGATTTAGGTCAGGGCTATAGCTTGGCCAATCTAATAATGTCATATTTTGGGTCCCAAACCAGGCCTGTAAATGCTTTGAATGATGTTTTGGGTCGTTGTCCTGCTGGAAAATCAAAAATTTCCATAGAACCGTGAGCAGATGGAAGTAAATGTCCCTCGAGAATATCTGTGTACGCTCACTGTTAAGTATTCCCTTCAAATACACAGTGGGGGCGTTGCCCCTAACACATATATGCCACCCACACGTTAAATTTCGGACTGTACTTTGGGCTGATACAAAGGTTTTCAGTTTGTTTGGTCCAGAATTTCAGTGTATTAGGAAACAGCCACACAGAACTTTCATCTGAGAAAATCACATTGTCCCAGTTAAAATTTCTATGCTGTAAGCACCAGTTCAACCTTAAGCTCCTTTTGTTCAGGTTTCATGATCGGGTGATGGAATTCCTCGACTTTTCTGCCAACCCATTGCATGCAGCTCAGTTCTAATTGTCTCCTTACAGACAGCCACAGTTCCTCTATGAATCATATCCAGCCTTAAGTTTTCTTAACTCCTTCATTTGTTTTTAGAAACAAGAATACCAAGCTGCCTCCTGTCACCGACAGTCAATTTTCTGGGCCTACCTGCGCCTCCCTGATGCTCAATGCCATATCCATTTGCAATATTTTTCAAAACGTGGTAAACAGTGGACAAAGGGATACCTGTTCTACTTGAAATCACTTTAGCTGATCTGATGTCCTTGTTATAATACTCTAAAATCAACTTCCTCTTCTCTAAATCATCCATACTGAGGATCACTGAAAATGTCGTCTGCTAGCAAGTAAGTAAAGGGGGATAACTCTTCACAAATTAATGAAAAAGGATTAACAGAGTTGTCTCTCTTGAATGAAACCAAGCACTTGATAGCTGGTCAAGGTTGTTTATACTAGAAATCCAATTAAACATATTCCTAAAATTCGCAATAATTTCTGGTCATACTATATATACATATATCAAAATGACCATATATTGCAAGCTAGTCTGAGGCTTTGATGTCAGCATGTGGAACCATAAAACCACCGTAAACAAAGGATAAACATGCACCGAGATGAATATATTACTAATAGGGGACAAAATTTCTCTGAGGAAATAAATTTTGACACTGCATGCTATATTTTAATATTTTGTGGCTGCACATCAAAATGTTAGACTTTTATAAAACATAATAAATAAATAACCTGTGATGTTTTGAATGCACTGTTAAAGGACAAATTGTCACATCTGCTGGCCTCTGGCAGATGTACTAGGTTAATATGGTTAAGTGCACAGAACTGAATAGGAGAGCGGTTTCGAGACTGGCCAAACAGCTCAAAAACTGGAAATATTGTCAATTATAAAATTGTGTCAATGAAAATATCCTACATACTGTTGTGATGAAATACAGTTTAATTTACTTACACAAAGTTACCTCTGTATTCATGGGCTGATTCTAAGTCATGTTCAGGATGTTGTCGTTGATTTTTGCATAAAGTTACTTCTCCGATATTTAATTAACAATGATGAATTTCTGAGATCTATATGGGTAGCAAGCCCTAGTGGTTTTGATATGCGTGACTACCTGTCTACATTGCAGACAATTAGATCTGCGAGTTAGGTGAGTGAAGCAATAACTGGGTGAAGTAGAAACATAACTGTGAGAGGAGTGAGCAGCTTACCCCCTCGGAGTTTCCACAAGCACAGCGGTATCAGACATGAGCGAGGAGGACAGGGACACAGAGATGTCATTCTTGTCCGAATCAGCAGCATCAGTTCCAAATGCGATGCCTAGACCAACATCTGTTCCATTCAACACAGGGAAAGAGCTGGTTGAGATGACAGCTGATACTGAGGAAGGCATGATGTCTCCATGGTCCATCATACAGACGGTTATGCTTCTGTCGAAACTTCTTGTTAGCCTTTACTTTTTCGAGCCCCTCACTGCTATTTGCGCATGGTATGCATGGTGCAATGGCTTGTTGTTATTCACAGCTGGATCTTCCAAGAGATTCCATTAAAGACTTCATCTTCAAAGGTGTGATGAATGATGCATTCACAAAGATTCTAGTTCGTGTGACAACAGGTGCGAGCGCTCTCACAGACAGAACTTCATTCTTTTTTAAATTCACAAGTCAGACTCTTTCCAATGAGCCTGCCTTTTATCTAATGCTCAAAAATTTGGACTAAATGCTTTCAGTTATTGAAAATATAAACACTTTCGTCACGGCCCCTTTCATGAACTTTCTCAAGTAAAACGGAAGTTGAACTGAAAGTAGTGGAGGTAGGAATGTTATTTCCGGTTACTAGAAAAGGGACGCAACTGTAATGAGCAGAATGAATTACTCTGTTTTCAGCACAGTTCTGTGAATGTCAGCACATTAAAGTCATGTCTTCTGGGCCGTCTTTTCTGCAAAAATTAGATATAATGTGAGATGATATTTGTATCATTACCAGAACCATTATCATGTTAACACATCAAACTTATTTGAGACCATATGCCGATGTGGTATATGTTCTCAGAAATGATAAAACACTATTAACCAAATTCATAACTGTATTTTTATATGAAATTATATTTATAACTGCATTATAGATCAATAACTGTTACATAGTGTCGTTTATTATTGGAAAATGAAAACGAATTAGAATGTATTTCTAAAATAAAAACACATAACTGTTCTGTGCAGAAACAAAGAAGCGCGGGTAAAATATAACAGATGAGCTCTGTTTACAAAGTGCTGTTTACAAACTATCCACGTGGCTGTGGCCTTCACCTTGACCCGCGCACCTGTCAGGTGCCCAGCGCTCGTTTGCCGACTTTTAATCGTCCTGTAGCAGGAGGCGACGACCGATATACAGCATGAAAGCTGTGCAGCCGAGGCTAATAGTGTGAAACAACGGTATAAATAATCGTAGCAGTTGGGTAACGTATGCAAGGTGCTCGCCGCTGCGTACCTTTCACTTCATCTTTTTTCAAATGAGTAGAAGCCGTGAAAAGTTTTATTCACCTTGTAAAATTGTACCCGCCTGTACTGATAGAGTACAGAGGTGCATGTAGTTTCTTTCGTTTATTGTTGTCATCAATACATTTAAACACACATTTCACATTTATCAACAAAATTAGAATCACGCGTCTTGGACATTCTAAACATCAAGTGTTACAACAGGGATATCGATATTGCTGATGATTACAAGCCAACAAAGCCATATTTAATTGAACCATTTTAAGTATGTATTTTTGAAAGTAATACATGCAGAAAATACATCCATAACAATAGGTCGGAAAGTAGATACGGAGGTAGGCATTGGTAAGTAGTTACACATGAAACATACCATTATTATCCCTTCATTCCTATCACCTGACTTTAATCTCCCCTGCTGCAAAGCTAGCACAGAAACACATGCGGACTTCCCCTGCATTAACTGGTGACATGCACAAGGATTACTTCTTAATATCTTAAAACGTAAGTATCAGGCGAGTCAACAGAACACAGGTTGGCGTCCATCACTCTCTGATGCATGGACGTCGCAGTACATAAACAGGACTAGCTGCTGGAGACAATAACATTGCATGATCAACACCCGCTGTATTAATAATGTATGGGTAAACGATACAGTAGAATCGAATGAGGTTGTATCTGATTAGTTGTCGATTGGTATTTTCTTTCTAGCAGGACGTGAGCATACAATTTGATTAATACATAGCCAGCTCATATTTACATTTTGACTGATATCCAGTAGCCGTTAATGGTAGATAGTTGAATGAATGTAACACCGTGTGTTCCAGATCGGTAGTTTTATAGTATTGATGTTTCGGCTATCTGTTACTTAGTCCCAGCGTTAATTGAACAGTGTACATTTCCAGAAAAATTTATGTCTTCTCATTTTAGAGGACAAATTCTGTAATTAATTTATCGTGACTGAGTTGGTGGGTAAACATATACCTGTTAACGGCCCTGTTGATGAACGGTCTTATGAATATTTTGTAATGCAAGAACAAAAATATGATACAAATGTATGAAACGAAAAGAAAAAAATAAATGAAAAAAATATCAAATGACATTAAAGCTGACAATTCAGCAATTACGACAGCAAACAGTACTGATTCGCCAGAAATGAAAATGTTCACGTGACCGAACGTCAGGACGATGGAAGTTTCCCGGATTGGTCGGTGTACTTTACAGGTAACAACAGCGGCGTCAGATTACCCAACACACATAAGTGTGACACAACTTTATGAACCATGCGCACTGACTCCTCCTGGCACATGTACACAATATCTCGACGGAAATCTGTGGTGAGAGCAAAATGTCACATCCACCCTTCTTAGTTAAACATCCGAATTGCACTACAGATCAAAAACACTTACTCTGCATAATTTAACCTGCGAGTTAAAGCATGGCTGTTGATGCCCGTGACCAAACACCTTCATCAAAGAGTTAACTATTAAATACCAATGTGGATATCAGCTGTTTAACAGCTAATGATACAGAACAATTCCTTGCATTTTACAGATCTTTTATTAAACCAGGGAGAATAAAAGACGTAGATTATCCCTGATCAAATTACCATGGGGATGGAGTTTGTGTCACGCTAGGAGACACCATCAATGAACTTAATTTGTTCTCATGTGTAGAATCGAAGCCTAATTCACCACCCAACACTTTAACTAGTAGTCTATCACACGAACTGGAAACAGCTTCCTGCCTTTCGTACAAAACTACCTACCTACATAGGTGGTATATATTAATGCATGACACTTTTTTATGGAGGTATATATTGTCTCTGGGCAAACATCCACACTTGTCTCCGTGCAGCTGAGAGACAGAATGTGAACGATACTTCAGCAATGATTGAGAGAGGCAGTGTGGGAGAGATCAGGGTCGTGCCCTCAGCTGAACACGCCCGGCTAACACTCCCCATATGTGTGTAGGGGTCTACCTTGACCGACAAAACGACGGTCCAGGGATCACCTTATAATTTATTTTTAAAATGAGTATCCTGTTAGGTGAAGTAAAATATTTGTAAATTACAGTACTCTTTTTTTTATTTCTGTCGTGGATTGGGCACAATACACATCACTGTACGTGACTCGGAATGCAGTATATGTTAATTATGTTTATCTAAGTTCATGTTATTCACTTGTATGTACTTGACGCACCTTTCTGCGGGTTGTAAACCTGAATCCAGCGTGAATCCTTCAATTAATCATCAGTTGATATATATTCCTTAACACTCAACATTCACATAGTTATTCACATTAATATTAATATGTTCAAAAATAAAATATCCATGTATAGCTACATCATGAATATGTAAATGTTTTCTGATTTAATTTCTCTGCTCATACTGTTTGCTTCATCCTATGCATAACTGGCGGTTTTCCCTGACATGTTATTTAATGGAACCTGACGTCATTTCGTTTTTCCCGACACGTATACACGTACCCCTCAGATTTAGACACTGATAGATCACAGGCGGTTCACCTGACAGTATTGGCTGCTATCCAGGTTAATGTTTACCCTTTTGTGATCTCTATCTGTGGATACTGGTAGCGTATTATACGCTGTATGTCGTAATGTCGCTGTATGTTCACACATGACTGGGCTGACGATGGCTTGTAGGTTTGGGCACTTAGCCAATCTCACAATGATTAGATAGCACCTGCTTGGAAATCCAGAGTCACTAAATAGAATGATGTTTGTTAATAATAGCTTATGGTGACCGTTTTGTTCTATGAATTATGTAACCTCAGAGGCATAATTATATGAAATAACATGTCTTGTATTTCATAAACAGATATGAAAGGTTAAGGGGTTTGTCTGTTGTCCCTAGCTATTGGCAGAGTTGATCTGCACCCCCTTTACTATCAGAGTGTCAAGGTCTTGGGTTCAAATCCAGAATTCGGTCGGGTTATTATCGGTGATTTACCAGCATACTATACCACTTGCTTGATAACGGTGTTAGTACCTACACCGAAACGTCGCACTCATAGTAATAAAAAAGTTGACTATCCATAGAACCTGGTTTTCCCTATACCATTGTTGTCAGAGAGACTACACCATAAGCGTGCTCGATGTTTTCCAAAACCAGCAACTGACTGAGTTGGGTTGTAGGCCCTACATTAGTCCAGGTATATCACGGCATGTCTGCTGAATGGGGGAGGAAAGCCCGAAGTTGCGCAGGTAGCAGACCCTTTACCAGTTTGGTGAAACCCACAAACAAGGGTGTATTGTTGATCAACCTAAAATAATAACTGGGGCCAAGAAAGGTTTCTGGAGTCCCCAAGGGACGCAACCCTGCCTTTGACGACGTAGCCACCCGTGTCCCTCGAAATATTAAACGCCTAATACATGCACCAGTTTGGGTGGGATTCGTCTCAACAATACCACGAGACGCCGTTCATTTTAGGTGTGTGTGGGGGTGTCATTCACATTGTACATGCTTCTCCTAAAAATCATCATCACCTCACCCCCATCCCCTAGCCATAAATTATGATCCGTCCCTAACCCAAGTTTGTCGTAAGAGGCGACTATCGGGATCGGGTGGTCAGGCTCGCTGTCTTGGTTGACACATGTCATCGTATCCCTGTTGCGTAGATCAATGCTCATGCCGTTGATCACTGGATTGTCTGGTCCAGACTAGATTATTTACATATCGCCGCCATATAGCTGGAATATTGCTGAGTGCGGCGTTAAACAACAAACAAACAAAACATATTGCTACATAATGCAACCTTCCTGTGTATATACATATGTATTAGTGGGATATAATATTGTGTTTAATGTATGGCGGAAATGGAGAACAGACAATTAGTAATGTGTAACACAATAAGGTATTGTAATCTGTCCTAGAATTCAGTGCTCCGTTAGTTTAGACTTGACAAGATGCAAGTATTCATGTCTGTTATGTATTATAATGCTGTAGACGTGGAGACGAATTTTCTTCTTGCATTTCCAGTACGTTCTTTTTTAGAATTGAGTATATGTCAGGTTATTACTTGCCAATCCCAGTGTCTTTGAATTTCAATCTGATAAATTCTTTAACAGTGCTACAATTATCAATGTATTCTTGCCATCGTTTTGTTTGTTTGTTGTTGAACGCCTAGAGTCTCATAGACTCCACTACTGTGTGATATGAACTATTGCTTATAAGCATTTGACCTCTTCAGTGCAGAAATGAAGACTGCCTGATTGATATGACTGATATATCGTTAAAACGTCGTTCACTCACTGAACCCTTCCTGGCGTCTCCCGTCGTTATAAC